TACCCCCATCACTTACTAAGTGTATAGCTGTGGATGTTATTTAATTTCTCTCAACTTCATTTTCCTTATCTTTAAAATAAGACTCATAAGACTAATGTAAGGATGTTATGAAAATTCAGTAATATCTTATTTAATCTTCACACTGTGCCCAGAACACAAAAAACACTCTCTTAGCTATTATTATTATATTACTCCCATCTTTATATGAAGCTTGGTGAAAAGTTACTTTTCTTTGCTACTGTAACTTGTTTAAGATTCTGAACATGCTACAAAAAGATGGGAATGTGAAAGAAAATTTTTTTTCATGGTTAAACTTAGGTCTATTTTCTGACTTAAAAGCCTGAAAAATCAAGTTGTGGAAAAATTGTTTAATAATCAGATTGTCTAATTTAAGATGCTTATTTTTTAAAAGAAATGACCATATTTTAATCAATATATTTTTTCAGGGGTAGTAAAACGAATCATTCCTGCAGTAGCTTCCACAAATGCAGTCATTGCAGGTGAGGAAAAATGTCCACTACTTGATTTTGTTTTCTTTCCTTTAGTTTTTGATTCAGTATCTAAATTGACATGTCTGCAGCTACTTGTTCTCAGAAAACTGGTGTTCTAGACATTTGATACCTTTTGGGGTGGGTGGTGTAATTAAGCTGTCCAAAAAAAGAGCAAGCTACTGGACCTTGTATATATTTTGTTTTACATTATGTCATTGATAAAGTGCTCTGTAGTAAGGGGACATTTTAGTACCATTTCTTTTTAATCAGTTTAACAGACTGCTAATTAATCTGAAGAAGAGGAAGAAAAACATGTAATGTTACTCTTACTTGGATTATACAAAACTAATACAAAATGTTTTACTTTCTCAGTTTTTTAAGAGTATATATATGTTTTTTAATATATTTTTTAATCAATAGCCTTGTAAATTTATCCATTCTGATTTATAACTGACTTTTTAAAAGAAACTTCTAATTTTAAATGTATAATTTTAATTGAGTTAAAGCACATTTATTTTCTCCCCTCTTCAGCTGTGTGTGCCACTGAGGTTTTTAAAATAGCCACAAGGTAATTGGTTTCATTTTTAATATGTATATAAATCTATGTTTTGATCTGGGTCAATTATATAAAGATAACATTTTTTCATTACAGTGCATATATTCCCCTTAATAATTACTTGGTATTCAATGATGTAGATGGACTGTACACATACACATTTGAAGCAGAGAGAAAGGTTAGTAGTATTATACTAATAAAAAAGATTTTGATCATGCGTACTTTCATTTTTAAATATTAATTACTGGTTAGAAATATGAATGAAATTGCTCACACCCTAAGTATTTTCTAACTTCCAGAACCCTGTAACTATATATCTTTCGTAGTGTAGCCTGAAATAAATACTATGTAGCAAAATAATTTAGGAAAAATGGCCTATTAATGAAAGCAGGCTTTAAAGCATACCTTTGTTCATAAGAAATATGCATGATTATAAAACAACTTGATTTTTACTTCATTGTTATAAAGAGATTATTATTGGTGCATGTGCCACTGTGATTTGTTGTATTTTATATATGTAGGAAAACTGCCCAGCTTGTAGCCAGCTTCCTCAAAATATTCAGTTTTCTCCATCAGCTAAACTGCAGGAGGTTTTGGATTATCTAACTAATAGTGCTTCTCTGTAAGTGTTTTGGACTTTTTTTATGTTTTAAAAATAATTTTTGTGATTTTAAAACTTTAAAAACTAGATATTTTTTTTAAAAAAAGTAATCTTTGATATACTTTTTTAATAATTATATTTAGGCAGATGAAATCTCCAGCCATCACAGCCACATTAGAGGGCAAAAATAGAACACTTTACTTACAGGTGATCAGTGTTCAGTTTTTATTTTTTTCCACAAAATTATATTAAAAGTTTAATTTCATTTAATGTGCTTTACACTAAAATAATTTTGTGTTCTAGTCAGTAACCTCTATTGAAGAACGAACAAGGCCAAATCTCTCCAAGACATTGAAAGGTATTTTAAATGAGTATATTTACTAATAATCTCTTTTTTTTTTTTTGGTAAAAGTAATAAATGCTTATTCTAGATTTGCTCCTAATGCCTTTATATGATGATATCACCATAGTTACTTATATCTTAGAAACAATAATAGAATTAATTGTCCTTTTAGTGTAATATTTTAAAAAATCTCTAAGAAATCAAATATAATATTACCTTGATTAAAAATTGGATTTTGATATTTATCTAGGCCATAATACTCTGTAGTTTGTGTCTGTGTGTGTTGTTATCCTTTTTGTTGAGATTTTTTTGCGTGGGTTAATTATACTTTTTCTATTTTAGAATTGGGACTGGTTGATGGGCAAGAACTGGCAGTTGCTGATGTCACCACACCACAGACTGTACTGTTCAAACTTCACTTTACTTCTTAAAGAAAATAAATATGCACATAATAGAAAACTCATGGAAATATTATACTTTGTGGATGCTAAGAAATTTAATTGATGTCATTTTTAGCATTAGCGTTGCTGAAATTTGACTTTTTTTTTATATAATGAGCCACTGTTTTTTAACTTTGTAACTTCCCCTTGAAGATGGAATTTTGGGGTTGGTGCTTGTAAGCATTTTCATTAATAATATGGGAAATGATGCCTGGAGAGAGAGACTATAAGCAAATGTATTGCTTCTTTTAGAGGAGGAGGCAAATACCCTTTTGTGTGTGAATTTTGTTATTATGGTCAAAGAATGTATTTCTCAGTTTTCATTTGAACACCCACATATACAAAAGATGTCCCTTTAAAGAAAATAAGAAAATTAAGTTTTAAATAACATTAAATATTACAACCTGACATCTAGAGCATATTGAACATAGCCTACTTCTTGCTTGATTTAATATTCATTTAATTGTGGCTGTCCAAATGAATATTAATTATTGCAAAGATTACCTAGTCCATAATAATTTGTAAATGGTGTTATAGCTGAATACCTGTGCATGGAAATGGGAAATATTTTCATGTGTTTACTGCAGTGCCATAGAGGCCAATATGCACAACAATTAAAGCCAAGATATGGATGTTTAAAGGAATTTAATGTTTAAACAGTTATCACTGATGCTTTTGTGCTATTTATTAATAAAATCATATATTGTCTACTTTTCTCACTGAAATTTTTAAAAGTATATTAAAGATAGTAAGTTCTGTAGTAATGTAGGAATAAATTTTAAATGTGTAGTAGAATTACTAAGACAAAATTTTTATGGAACCCGAATTAATACTTTTGCCACAGTAAATATCTACTGATTTAATTTAATTTGCTCCAACATAATAATGTAATGAAATGGAGTAACTATATTTTTATAATAGGGTCTCTTACAGTCCTTTTTTTTCCTTCCCTAAAAGACTAAGGCTTAAAACAAAATTAAGAATAAGTACTGAAAAATGAGTTTTAGTATCTCAGTATGGGAACATGTTCTCACTCTTTGTTTTTGACTTAGCAGTTTTCTACTGAAAAGCTTTGTGATTACATGTGACTGGATTACATTTTCATCTATGGTTATTCTTTCTAGCTCCATATTGACAAATATTCTAAGTTTCATTATAAAATCATATGGGATAAATTTATATGCTTTATTTAAAAAGTTACAAATTCAGAGGAACTAAAATTTAGCACCTCTTTCATATGTGTGCTATCATAATTCTTAAAGTAGCCTTGTGAGAAGGTGACAGTATCTCCATCTGAGAGGTGAATAAATAGTTTTAGAAAGTTAAGGTCATTTACTCAAAACTGTACAATTAGAAGTCTTGGAACAGGGATTCCAACCCTAATTTGCCCCAAACCTCCTCCTTAGGTTACTTAGCTAAGCTGTTTGACGTTACCGAGGTATTTAATACTACTTGTGCAGGTTACTACATTGTAAGAGTTTCAACATGCAAATTTTTACTGAAGTTGGATAAACTTACTGGAAGATCATAACTTCTCAAGGGCATAGTTTAAATCTGATTTTTTTTGAAGAAAAATAATCCCTTTATGGCAAAGTTCCTTGCATTTGGGTAAAATAATAAAATAGAGGGGACAGGCAGGTAAAGTAAATAACCACAGCAGGGAGGGTGTAATAAGAGGATGTAATAAGATTAGTGAGGTCTGTGGCAAACGGGAGTGAAAATTATTTGTCAAAAGAGGCAACCACTCCTGCTGACTGTGCCTTGTTGGTATCCATATTTTTCAAAATCAGCTGGAAATCTGGATTTTTATATGAAATCAGACTTTTAAATGTTGGTAGAATTTTGTCTTTAACATGGAGGCCAAACCAAACATAATTACTGACTAGATTGGTAATGCCACCAATTTGATTTCTACGTATAGCCAAATGTTTGAAGAGTGCATCCCCCACAAGTTATATTTTAAATAATATGCACAATACACATTAATAGTTGTAGTGCTCCCCAGGTTTGTTTGGGCTGGGGCTGAGAGTGGACCTGTATCGTGAGGGGAGATTGTGCTTTCTGTGCTTGTTGTAACTTGTAACTCATCGTGGAAGACGGCTTACTTACTTGCATCAGGTGGGCTGAAGCAGGTCTTTTATACAGTGTCCAGTATTTTTAGGCAAACCTAAACCTAGGGTTCCTCCTTTAGGCCAAATTAACACCGAAGTGATTAAATATTTGAGACAAAGCGATAAGAGAAATGCGAGACCCAAACTTCCCTTTGTTGCAGTTATTACCGGCAAGGTGCTACCTCTTAGTATTTGAGCTGTTTTCTAGGAAGGAATCCACGTGAAAACTCGCTTATTTATCCTGGAAGAATCTGCCTTGGCTGGTAGCCACAGAGTTTCTCCCGTGGCTGAGAATGCCGGCACTAAGCTTGGAATCCGTATCAATGGAAGCAGGTACGCGTTCCTGGGTAACTAATGGCAACCCTGGCCTCCCGGATGTGACGTCAACGTTCCTCCTGTTCCGTCTACCGACGGAACTCCGAGCTCCCGGATTTCGCGGTTGTGTACGTGGAAGAAGTCAGCGCATGCGCAGTCCGGGCCCGTCGTCTCAGCTGTGCGGAAAGGGCTGGGGTAACCTCCCGGGCTCGGAGGAGCCTGTCGGGGTCATGGCCGCCCGCTGACAGGGCTCGCCGAGTGGAGAAGGGGGCGAGGGCGTACCGCTGCACCCTTCCCCAGGCCTGAGGCCGGTCGGCCTGGCCCTCGGCCTTCCCGCTTGGTGCTGCCGCCGCCACTGCCGGCTGAGGAGTGGAGATGAGTTGGTTCAACGCCTCCCAGCTCTCCAGCTTCGCTAAGCAGGCCCTGTCCCAGGCCCAGAAGTCCATCGACAGGGTGCTGGACATCCAGGAAGAGGAGCCGAGCGCCTGGGCCGAGACCATTCCATACGGAGAGCCGGGTAAGGCGCCGCGGAGCGGGTCCCCGGGCTCGCGCAGGCGTCGCTCCTGAGGCGCACAGGTGAAGAGGGGCGGAGAGCGCTCCTTCCTCGCTGGGAGGGTCCGGGGAGGTCATTTCCCCCCAGCCCGTCCTCGGGGGCTGCTTCTGTCTCCACACTGGGCTCTGCTGTTTTCCTGGGGTAGAATCCAGCCTTGGGTTCCTCCTTGCTGTGGTCCTGGATGCGGGTCCTGCCGGCCTCGAGTCACAGGGACTTGGTTTGTTGTCTTGTCCCCAAGCCCTCCCCCGACGCAGCCCCAGCCTCCCCGCAACGCGAATTGCTGCGCACTTGGGGCACTGTTTGGAGCCAAGATATGAAGTCAGTCAACAGGGACCGGGAGAACAATCGCTAACACTGAGCGAGCACTTCGTGCTTGGTAGCGCCTTAATGTGCGTTTTTATGGCTTTCTCATCTTCAAAACGGCTCCTCGAGCTACGTTCGTTATTATCCGTGTTTTCCAGAAGAGGAAATCGAGGCTCAGTAACTTCCTCTAGGCCACGCAGTGGGTCAGGGGCAGAGTATGCTGAAGATATTACCGGTGGAAACTGTGGCCCAAGATTTTGGGGTTGCATCACCTTTTATTTCCAAAGAGCTACGTCTCTCTTTGTCAGATCCGTTGAGCTTAATATTTCAGGGATCTTAAGGTAATTTTGGCTCTAAATTTAAGGAACAGTTTTGCATTTTGGTGTGTGGGGTAAAGATTTGCAGATTTTGAGGGTGTGAACTTATGTGAAAAAGAGTAAGTTATTCTTGACGACTCTTTTCTGGTTTCTGTTTTTAATTTTACATCGTTGAAAAGTCAGGACCTAAATTTAAGGTACCTCATTTTAAGATATTTTGGTCTGTGTGTGTATGTCATGAGCCTCTTACTTTTTACAAGATAGTATATGAACTTGGAGTAACTCAATTTCTTTTTCGTGGGTACCCCACATTTTGAATTACTGAACTTTAGAGGAGACAGAACATAAGTTTTCAAGATAAGGATACTTGTTTAATGAAACCTGGGGCTTGCATCGTTTTACGTAATTCAATTTTTAAGAATAGGTTATACAGAATTGACTCAGATTTTAGTGAAATGCCGTAGTGTTCGTTGATCATCTATCTTTTACATTGCCATCACTCAAAGATGACCAGTGTTTGGCATGGAGTAACTTAAGTGAATTTAAGAATGGGATTTAAATAAAACATTCTTCAGGAGGCATATCTGACTTCTGTTATTCATTAAGGTGACTTAAACTACTCACCAAACCTAATCTTATTTCATTTTCCTTTTTAGTTTTGATTATCCCTTTTTTCATTGTTTTCGTATACTGAATAAAGGGATATACAACTATGTCCCCAAACGGAAGTTTCTTACATACCTCTGAAGTCATATTAAAGGATAGACTTTAATATAGGACTTGATAGTTTCAGGAGCTTTTAGGTACTTGTGCTCTTCCCCTCAACTTCTAATGGTGCAGGATTTGTGCACAGCTACTTTTGAGTTTAGAAAAGAAAGAATTTTTTAAAAAGAAATGCTTTAAATATTTCAGCAAATATGCCATTTTTTTGTTTATCATTGGGTTTTTTAGTAGCATATATTTCTATGACTGATATAATTATCTTTTTTTACTCAGAAGATAGTTATTTTCTCCTTAGTTTTTTAAAAAAATCCTTGCGTAAACTATCATCTATATCAAAAAGCAGTAATTCTTCTTCTTCTTCTTTTTTTTGGTGAGGAACATTAGCACTGAGCTAACATCTGCTGCCAATCCTCCTCCTTTTGCTGAGGAAGATTGGCCCTGAGCTAACATGTGTGCCCATCTTCCTCCGTTTTACATGTGGGATGCCTGCCACAGCATGGCGTGATAAGCGGTGCTAGAGTCCATGCCCGGTTTCCGAACCTGCAAACCCTGGGCCGCCGGAGCAGAGCGCCTGAATTCAACCACTATGCCAGCAGGCCTGCCCCGAAAAAGCAATAATTCTAAAAATGTGCACATTTCTGAAATTCATCATGACCTTCTACTAATTGCTGACATAATTTGGAATTTAGGAAGAGAACAAAACTTTCTCATAGAGTAGGTTTGGAGAGTGGGACTTGGAGAATGAGCTTGTCATCAAGTGGATGAAAATGAATTTGTCCTCTAGAAGTTACTGTTCCCATCAGTTTAATTTGATCTATGGAAAAGGACATTTGTTACCAGTATCTTAGGTTCAGTGGTTTTTTTTTTTTTTTTTTTGTGAGGAAGATCAGCCCCGAGCTAACATCCATGCTAATCCTCCTCTTTTTTGCTGAGGAAGACCGGCTCTGAGCTAACATCTATTGCCAATCCTCCTCCTTGTTTGTTTTTCCCCATAGCCCCAGTAGATAGTTGTATGTCATAGTTGCACATCCTTCTAGTTGCTGTATGTGGGACGCCGCCTCAGCATGGCCGGAGAAGTGGTGTGTCCGTGCGCGCCCGGGATCCAAACCCAGGCCACCAATAGTAGAGCGCGAGCACGTAACCACTAAGCCATGGGGCAGACCCTTCGGTTCAGTTTTGAGTGCTGCCCTTTGTCTGGCTCATAACTATGTTTTATTATTAATGTTACAAGAATAAAATTAATATGAAACTAACTGAATAGAAGGTAGGTTCAATTTACAATAACTGCACATGACGTATAAGTGAGGGTATTGCCTGTTATTGTCAGATGAGTCATATGTATCTTGGACTTAGCATGGGTTATATAACATATACTATAACTTTCTTAATTTGTTATGGGAGAGAATAACATACTTGCTTCTGGTAGGCCAGGCCCAGCCCAGTCTTTTATTTTTGCTCCTAGTTCCTCTTGGGCAGATCCACACCAGTTTTCCTCTTTAAGGCCCAAAGTTAACTGTGAACTAATTAATTATGTAGTAAGCAAGGAGTTGAACAGGTGCAAATTATAGGTTGTATTCCATAGGTTTTCTTTTTTTTTTTTTTTAACTTATATTTATATTGACTTATAATAATGATTGTAATATAAGTGTAATATATATGTGATTTTCTCTTTTTTGATATTTTTTTGTCAAAGGAATAAGTCCTTCTGTCAGTGGAGGATGGGATACTTCAACCTGGGGGTTAAAATCAAGCACTGAACCTCAGAGTCAACCGGTAGCCTCTCCTAAAGCGATTACAAAGCCAGTTCGGAGAACTATGGTAGATGAATCTGAAAATTTCTTCAGTGCCTTTCTCTCTCCAACGGATGTCCAGACCATCCAGAAGAGTCCAGTGGTATCAAAACCGCCAGCTAAATCACAGCGACCAGAAGAAGAAGTGAAAAGCACCTTACAGGAATCCTTGCACACTGGACAGTCAAGAACAGCTGAAACAACTGAGTCAAAAGTTAAAGATTCTTCTCCCTGTGTTGTATCGAAGGAAACTCTGGCAGTAGATACTCCATCACCTAAAACAGAGGGCAAGCATGAAGAAACTGTTAATAAAGAATCTGATATGAAGGGGTCAACCATACCTTTGAAAGTATCTGAAAGTGTAATTACTGTGAAAACCACCAGGGAAAATGTGTCTAATATGTCTACACAGTCTCTCACAGCAGAAACAAAGGACATGGCTTTGGAACCTAAGGAACAAAAGCATGAAGACAGACAGAGCAATACACCTTCTCCTCCGGTTAGTACCTTCTCATCAGGTACTTCTACCACCAGTGATATCGAAGTTTTAGATCATGAAAGTGTAATAAGTGAGAGCTCAGCAAGTTCGAGACAAGAGACTACAGATTCAAAATCAAGTCTTCACTTAATGCAGACGTCTTTTCAGCTTCTCTCAGCATCTGCTTGTCCTGAATATAATCGTTTAGATGATTTCCAAAAACTCACTGAGAGTTGCTGCTCATCTGATGCTTTTGAAAGAATAGACTCGTTTAGTGTACAGTCATTAGATAGCCGTAGTGTAAGCGAAATCAATTCAGACGATGAATTGTCAGGCAAGGGATATGCTTTAGTACCTATTATAGTTAATCCTTCAACTCCAAAGACTAAAATAGTTGAATCTGTTGAAGGAAAATCTGAAGAAGTAGTAAATGAAGCGTTAATTATACCTACTGAGGAAGCAGAAATGGAAGAAAGTGGACGAAGTGCAACTCCTGTTAATTGTGAACAGCCTGATATCTTGGTTTCTTCTGCACCAATGAATGAAGGACATACTGTCTTAGACAAGGTGGCTGAGGAGGGTGAAGCTGCGGAAAGTCAGCCAGAAGCGCTTTCTGAGAAAGATGTTTGCAAGGTAACTCTAGAAAGTGGAAGGGGATTTTTGGATATGCTTTTCAAAGATTAAATCATTTGTTTATTTTTAATACTCAGTAATGCATAATGTTTTGTACTGTTAAAAACGGCAGGCATTTTGCCATGTAAGTGTGACATTAAGGACCTTAAAATTGAAAAATTATTGATACTAACGTGTTTGAAATTTCTCCAAGGCAACTATGGTAGAATAAGTTGATAATGTAACTGAGCATAAAAAAGTTTCCCTCTTATGTCTTTACTGTTGATTTCTTATCACCTTAAAATTTTCTTATGCTATGCTCATTAATTTGTCAGTTTGAAAGGACTGTCTTCTTGTGTTAAGATATGTCTTTAACTCCTTGGCAGATAGACGTACTAAAACAAATCTAAATATTATGGTTTTTCTCATGAAAAAAAAATTTTTGCGTGTTCACAGTATTTGTAGCAAATCTTAAATGAAAAATTTAGTCTTTAGATTAATTATTGATGTTTTTTTGTTATTAGTTGCTTCAGTTTGTTTTCTCTTTTATGTTATTTTTGATATTTTCTATTGATAGCTGTCTTAGATGAATAAGAAAGGGAAATGTCCAAGGAACAAAGGAATTGCTTAGGAATGACGAATTGCTTCTACCTAATACCTATAAAAGAAAAGTGATGTAAATTCTTTAACTAACATTAAGTCACAGTTGTGGTTTTTCCTATGATTTTTAGATATAGAAATTGAGTTGGATCTGGCATCTTTAATAGACTCCTCTGAGATATAGGATGTCTTGAAGAAATGTCTTGTAAATGCCATGTATTGAATTATTTAATGTAAAATAGTGCCAGATTCTGTTACCTAGGTTTAATATTATTCACAAACAAAATGCCATGCTATAGCTATAATATAACTTCCAGAAGGTAAGTGATTTCTAAATTAATTTAGACCTAACTCAGGTAAGACATTTTTTTTTAGGTACCGTTCCTCCCCTCAAATACAAGTTTATCACTGCTTCCAGCAGGACGTAAGGAATGAGATATCCTAAGTTTTCCTTTTTGTTTGGCTTTATACTGATATATTTTAGAGATTTTAAAATTACATGCCTATGGATTTTCTAAAATTACTTTCATTTTTAAATGCAGTGTATCATACTAAAAAAAGTTACATGTTACATGTTGGGTTAAAGAATAACCTGGAAAAACAGACACTTTGTCTATCCACTACCCGGCTAAGACACGGAACATTACTAGAGGCTTTGAAGCCCCTCTTTGATCTTTCTTGATTGCATCTGACTCCTTTCCTGTTTTGGTGGACATGCACACTGTTCCCAGATTTTTGCTGTTACCTAGTACACTTATGCAGGAGTTTTCTCCTCTAAGATATACCTAAAAGTAGAATTTCCACATCAAAGAGTATGTAGATCTTCAACTAGATGTTGCCTAATTGTTCTCCAAGGTGGTTTATTAATTTATACTCCCACCAGCTATGTGGTTATACCAATTTATACTCTCCTACCAGCTATGTATGAGTTCTTGTTGTTCTGTATCTACTTTGTTCCAAAAATTGTTTTTAGTTTTTTTTTTTATGAGATAATGCTGTTTTATTTACTGTAGTGATTGGGTTTCCTTTACAACTCATCACCTGCTTGTAAAAATAGTTTCTTAAAGTTGAACGTTTGACTTTTGTGTATTTTCCTTATCCAGACAGTTGAATTTCTGAATGAGAAACTGGATAAAAGGGAGGCCCAGTTATTATCTCTTAGTAAAGAAAAAGCACTTCTAGAAGAAGCTTACGATAATCTGAAAGAGTAAGTATTTTACAAATGTGAATAATTTTGCACATTTTCTAGATACCCCTATACTTTGTTGTTGTTTAAGGATATTGTTGAAATTAAAATGTTTTATAATTTAACTTATTTATAATTATTGAAAATTGAATAGCATTTCAATTCTAACCTTAGAGATTACTTTTCTCCTCAAATTATCTTTACCATATTACCTTTGGCTTTGAAGAGAGATGTTTTGCAAAGAAAAACACAAAAAAAACCTTTTTCCTTTATTATTAATAATCTTTTAGTATTAGAGATTTAAAACATATTTAAAGAAAACTGTGATATTATAGTTAAAAAAAATACTGAGTATTGGTTTGCTTTAAGGAGGTGATTGGTAAAATGTGACACAAAAAGATTCAAAGATGAAAAATTTTATTTAATTTTTTCTTATTTCTACACATCAAATATTGGTGATATTTTCTTCTTCAAGTGGGTTTTCTTTGAGCTGTTTTAAAATAAATTAAGCTGGTAATTTTTCTCTTAAAAGTTAACAGGGCTAGGGGCCAGCCCGGTGGTGCAAGCGGTTAAGTGCGCACGTTCCGCTGCGGCGGCCCGGGGTTCGCCGGTTCGGATCCCGGGTGCGCACCGACTCACCGCTTGTTAGGCCATGCTGTGGCGGCGTCCCATATAAAGTAGAGGAAGATGGGCATGGATGTTAGCCCAGGGCCAGTCTTCCTCAGCAAAAAAGAGGAGGATTGGCATTGGATGTTAGCTCAGGGCTGATCCTCCTCACAAAAAAAAAAAAAAAAGTTAACAGGGCTAAAACTAATCTATTTTAGTAAGGTGTGTGTTGAAGACAGTGTTATTTTCCTTTTGCAAAGTGAACTCACCTTGTTACCTTGGCAGTAGTGTCCTCAGTCTCAATTTTATTTTAAATTTAGTGAAATGTTCAGAGTGAAAGAAGAAAGCAACAGCATTTCTTCCTTGAAGGATGAGTTTACTCAAAGAATTGCAGAAGCAGAAAAGAAAGTTCAGCTAGCCTGCAAAGAGAGAGATGCTGCTAAAAAGGTAATGGAAGTTTAAAATAATATTAATTAAACTCTATAGAGACGTAGATTTTTGAGGAATGCATTCATAATATTTTGGTATTGGAAAAAAGAGAAAACATTAAAAGGATACTATGTAGTATATTACACTTAAATTACAGATTTTTCTATACCTTTAAATTTATAGGTTTTTGATAATTTTTAAAAATCTAAACAAATATTTGTATAATTTATGTGTAAGTCCTTGCAAGGATCATTAGAATAATTTTTGTAAATGATAATTCCATCAAAATAAATAACACAAATGTAAATGGCACTATATAAATTTTAAAATTTGTCATTACTGTCATTTGTTATTTTCCTACCACTTCAAACATATTATATATACTTCTTCAAGTCCAAGTAATTTTAAAATAAAGGTTTCTAATGGTTAGTGACTCCCTCTTGGGGGGCATAGTGTTGGCTTATTCTAATGCAGGATTTCTCAACCTCAGCACTGTTGACATTTTGGCCTGAATAATTTTGTGTTGTGTGGGGCTGTCCTGTGCATTGTAGGATGTTTACCAACATACCAGGCCCCTCCCAACAAGATGCCAGTATCACTCTCCCCTCCCCACTACCCCACCCTAACCCCCCAACAGTTGTAGTAATTGAAAATGTTTCCAGACATTGCCAAATGTCCCCTTTGCCTTTGGGAGCAAAATCACTCCTGGTTAGGAACCATTGTTCTAATTCTTATAATTTGGAATAGTTGGCTATTTCAGAAATTGATAACCAGCTAAGGTTAGTAATTATTGCTTGCGTCTCAACTATTAGTAATAATACTTGTCAGCATTTTCCCTTCTCAATTAGGTTGCTTCCCCCTTCTTGACCAATATTAATGTTAATATATAAAATTTCTGTGTATACTCTTACAGAAAAGAGACGTGTCATATACTTCACAGAAAAGAAATGTGTCATATACTTGGTTGCTTAAGTTAGCTAGCTCATTTCAGACACTAACGATAACCTGAGACTACGTAACCAACTTACCTCTTCTTGTCCCTGCTGTGTTCCGTCTGGACCAGTCTAATCAAGAAATTAGATTTTAAGTAATGTTTGTTTTCTGTAGTGAACTTTGAATTGTAGATATAGAATTGATCCAAACCATTAACTAAAGGTGGAAAAAACTGAAAACTTTTGACACATTTTATGTGTACTGCCATGCATGAACCCCATGCTTAGGATCCATAGAAAGTTCAAAGGTGAATTGAATAACCTTAAGTGAAGAGTTGGCTTTTCTGGTGATGAAAGACAGATAATGTCAGCAACTATATAGTACTAAATAAGTTATAGATACAGATGAATAAGCAGTTTGGAATAGTATCATAGAGGATGAATTCTGACCAGGGGAATTGAGGAACGTTTCATGGAAGACATGATATTCTTACTGGACCTTGAAGGATGAATCAAATTTTGACAGTTGGAAAATGGACAGCATTGTTGTAGATGGTTCAGAGCATGGGCTTTGGGGATTTACAGACCTGGGTTCAAGTCATAACTCGACCACTTATTAGCTCTCGGACCTTCACAGTTTACTCAGTCTTTCTGAGTCTTAGTTTTCTTCTTCATGTAGTTGAATTATACAAGTGCCTCCCTCATAGGATTATTGTGAGGTTTAAATGATAATGGATACAAAGCATGGTCTAAATAAATTAATAAATGTTACTTGTTTTTAGCTATTGTTTAGTTTCAGAGTATTGCTTCAAAGCAAATTTTAAGTCATAAAAGTTTTCACATCACCATACTTCTCCGTTGTAGTTTTAAAAAACAATCTTGATTTGTTTCTGTTGCATCTCTGCTTTATTAAAGTAGATTGAACCTTATAATCATGTTTTCCCTCTCATTTCACAACACACTAGTAAATGCAATGAGTTTTAGATGAGGAAAAGAAATACGGTGAAAAATGGAGACAGTGTACTGTTTGAAGTTGTTCCAAATATAGTGCTTAACTTGTAGAGTGTGTGTGTAGTGATAGTGAAGAAGAGTATTGAAAGTTATTCTCAGTTGTATTTCCATATTAAAACCTTTTTATATCTCAATTCAGGTTTTATATGTTGTTTTCAGAGGTGTTTACTTAGTCTTAATTAACCGAAGTAATAGACTCAGGTTAACTGAACAAAACTTATGGTTTCTTACCAAGAATGTGATTATTCTTTTAATATGGAAAAAAATTGAAAAATATGCCTAGAATGAAAGTAATTCTTTTGGTATTTACAATTTTTTTTCTTAATTAGGAAATCAAAAATATAAAAGAAGAACTTGCCACTAGACTAAATAGTAGTGAAACTGCAGACCTTTTGAAAGAGAAAGATGAGCAGATCCGAGGGTTAATGGAAGAAGGTGCGTAAAGTATTCAGTTGATTATGAAAAATATTGTAAGAACATGAAAAATACTTGCCATATGACTAGCTGCTGTTTCCTAATAAAAAATACTAGAAGCAAGGAAGCTTTGGACTTAAACCTCAGAAATGATAGGTGACAATTTATGGAAGAATGGAGAGTAAGATGTATAGAGGCAGAGATATATATATGTAACTTTTTATTTCTAAGGAGGTAAAAAAATAAAAATAGAAGTTTGTGCTTCCCTAAGAATGCTTATAACAGGTCTTAGAGCCCATCATTTAAACCAAGATATTGGAAGGTTATAATTCTGGAGTTTATATAGTATCTGAATCTCCAGCTTGGGTATTATATAGTATCATTGTATTGTTCTGGCATTTGATAGTGAATTTTTCATTATATTTTTGTTTTAATTTTTCAATTATTAAGCACTTGATGAAAAGATTTATAATTATCAGGGTTACAGAAATTCAAGATCCTTCATGAGATAAATCATTACAATTGGACACTGAATTGATTTCTTTATGTAATATCCTAGCAAAGCAGGAGGTTTTGGAAAAGGTGGTTAAGTGAATTTTTATTTTTCTTAAAGTTTTTCTAGTTATAAGAATAATACTTGCTACCTACAGAAATTTTTGGTTTTAAGAAGTATACAAAGAGAAAGAAAAATAGATCATAATCCAGTTTTATGAGGAGTTATGAATTTCTTCTAGTCCTTTTTAAATACTTTTTTAACACATTTTTAAATATAATTAGCATGTATCTAATTTGTAATCTTCCTTCTTTTACATTTTCCTGTGCCTTTGAGTGCTTTGATACCATTATTACTGGCTGTTTGAAAGTCGATTATATGGATATACCATAATTTGTTTTACTGTTTCCCTAATGTTGTACATTTATTTCTAAAATGTTCATAATTACAAATAGTGGTGGGGTGAACATTTCTGTGCTTAAATCATTGAACTTAAGTGAATTTCCAGAGTGTTTGAGAACAATTGGAAGCAGTCGTTTCATTTGAAAAAGTTAGTTTTACCCAACTTTTCTTTTTCATTTATTCAGCTAATATTTAAGTTAGTATGTCAGATGTTGTGTTTGATAGAATAATAAATAGAACACACTCATTGTCCTTTAGGAGCTTACAGTTTAGTGAGAGGGAAATATAGGTATACAGATAATTATAAAACATAATCTAAGCACTAAAATAGAAGAATGAAGGAAGAGTTGATAAATAATCATTGTCTCAGGACATCTTGAAGTCAGTAACCGCCTTATGTTACAACATCATAAGACTGAAGGGAAGGCTAAGTGCCTGGTTTCGTAATTTTAAAAAATCATTGAAAATATTAATATTGGGGCCAGCCCCATAGCGTAGTGGTTAAGTGCGTGTGCTCCTCTGCTGGCGGCCCAGGTTCAGATCCTGGGCGCGCACTGATGCACCGCTTCTCAGGCCATGCTGTGGCGGCGTCCCATGTAAAGTGGAGGAACATCCGCACGGATGTTAGCTCAGGGCCGGTCTTGCTCAGCAAAAAAAGAGGAGGATTGGCATGGATGTTAGCTCAGGGCTGATCTTCCTCACAAAAATATATTTATATATATTAATATTAAATGTTACTATTTTGGAATTTAGTAATTTAGTCGGGGTAGACTGATTTTTTTTTACTTTATGATGTTTTTTATGGGGAAAATGGAACAATTTCGTATGGGAGTGTTTACATATTGCTTTCTTATCCCCCAGAAGTATTTTTAAACTCAAAGTTGAAAAGCTGAAAGAATCAAAGCTGAAAGCATACTACCATGAATAACTGATTACTTCGTTACCTAGATTCATAAGCTATTAACGTCTTGCCACACCTCCTCCAAATCTTTCTGCATACATGTACTCTTACACATACACTACCCTTTTGCCAAACCATTTGAAAGTAGGTGACAGATATCATAACATTCCACTCCTAATTTTTTTCCCGGCTTTATTGAGGTATAATTGACAAATAAATAATCGTATGTATTTAAGATGTACAACGTGATTTTTTGATATGTGTGTACATTGTGCAGTGATTACTGTGGTCAAGCTAATTAACTTATCCATCATGTCATGTAGTTTCCATTTTTTTTGTGATGAGAACACTTAAGATCTACTCTCCTAGCAAATTTCAAGTGTATAATACAGTATTAGTAACTTTAGTCACCATGCTGTGCGTTAGATCTTCAGAACTTATTTATGCAGCGTAACTGGAACTTTGTCCTCTTTGACTAACATCTCCCCATTTCCCACACCCCCCCAGCCCCAGGTAACCACCATTCTCCTCTCTGCTTCTATAAGTTCAACTTTTTTAGATTCTATATGTAAGTGAGATCATGTAGTATGTGTGTGTAGCTCTTTCATCCTCCAGCTTCATACATGTTGTTGCAAGTGGCAGGATTTCTTTGTTTTTTAAGGCGGAATAATATTACATTTTATATATATTGTTTATTCACCAAATTTTCTCCATCCGTTTGTCCATCAACAGACACTTAGGTTATTTCCATATCTTGGCTATTGTGAATAATGCTGCAATAAACATGAGATTGCAGATCTTTTTTTGAGATACTGATGTTGTTTCCTTTGGATATATACTCAGAAATGGGATTGCTGGATCATGTGGTAGTTCTGATTTTAATTTTTTGAGGAATTTCCATACTGTTTTCCATAGTGGCTGTACCAGTTTACATTGCCACCAATAATATACAAGGTTCCTTTTCTCACCAGTACTTACCTTTTGTCTTTTTGATGATAGGTGTCCTAAGAGGTGAGGTGATATCTCATTGTAGTGTTTTTTTGTTTTTTTTTTTTGTGAGGAAGATCAGCCCTGAGCTAACATCTATTGCCAATCCTCCTCTTTTTGCTGAGGAAGTTTGGCCCTGGGCTAACATCTGTGCCCATCTTCTTCTACTTTATATGTGGGACACCTGCCACAGCATGGCTTGATAAGTGGTGCGTTGGTGCACGCCTGGGATCTGAACCTGGGAACCCTGGGCGGCTGAAGTGGAGTGCGCAAACTTAACTACTTTGCCACTGGGCCGGCTCCTCATTGTAGTTTTGATTTGCATTTCCCTGATAATAAGTAATGTTGAGCACCTTTTCATATACCTTTGGCCCATTTGTATGTCTTCTTTTGAGAAATGTCTCTTCACGTCTTTTGCCCATTTTTATTTTTCAATTTTTTAAAAATTTTTTATTTTGTTTTTTGCTGAGGAAGGTTCACCCTGAGCTAAAATCTGTGGCAGTCTTCCTCTGTTTTGTATGTGGGTCGCTGCCACAGCGTGGTTGACAGTGGTGTAGGTCCGTTCCTGGGATCTGAACCCATGAACCTGGGCCGCTGAAGTGGAGCTTGCCGAACTCAACCACTATGCCACGGGGCAGCCCCGTTTGCCTTTAATCAGCTTATTTGGTTTTATGCTGTTGAGTTGTATGAGTTCTTTATTTATTTTGGATATTAATCCCTTATCAGTTGTGTAGCTTGCAGATATTTTCTTAGATTCCATAGATTGTGTCTTCACTCTGTTGATTGTTTCCTTTGCTGTGCAGTAGTTTTTTAGTTTGATGCAATACCACTTGTCTATTTTTGCTTTACTGTGCTTTTGGGATCATATCCAAAAAATCATCACCAAGATCAGTGTCAACAAGCTTTTTCCCCTGTGTTTTCTTCTAGTAGTTTTACAGTTTCAGGTCTTACATTTAAGTGTTTATCTATTTTGAGTTGATTTTTGTGTTTGGTGTGTGATAGGCTCCAATTTCATTCTTCTGCATATGGATATCTAGTTTTTCCAACATCATGGATTGACGAGACTGTCGTTTCCCCATTGTGTGTTCTTGGCATCCTTGTTTAAGATCAGTTGACTGTAAATATGTGTATTTATTTCTAGGCTCTGTTGATTTTGTTCCATTGGTCCATATGTCTCTGTTTATGCCAGTACCCTAATGTTTTGATTACTGTAGCTTTGTAATATGTTTTGAAATTAGGAAATCTTATACCTCCAGCTTTGTTCTTCTTACTCAAGATTGCTTTGGTTGTTTGAGGTCTTTTGTGATTTGATATGAATTTTAGGATTGATTTTTCTATTTTTGTGAAAAATGCTATTTGGAATTTTGACAAAGATTGCACTGAATCTGTAGTCTACTCTTAAATTCTTAAGTGTGCATCTCACAAAGGCAAGTACATTTTCCTTCACAAGCACAACATCACGATCAAACTTAAGAAAATCAGCATTCATTCAGAAATGTAATCCAGGGCCGGCCCCGTGGCTTGGCGGTTAGGTGCGCGCGCTCCGCTGCTGGCGGCCCGGGTTCGGATCCTGGGATCGCGGGACGCGCCGCTTCTCCGGCCTGTGGCCGCGTCCCACGTGCAGCAACTGGAAGGATGTGCAGCTGTGGCAGACAACTATCTACTGGGGTGTTGGGGGAAAAATAAAAAAATAAAATCTTTAAAAAAAAAAAAAAAAAGAAATGTAATCCAGCATATATTTTATCATTTGTCCCAATTGTCTCTAAAAATGACCTTTGTACCTGGTCATTTATCCTGCCCCAAGATCCAATCAAAGTTTGTACATTGCATTTGGCCCTAATGTTCTTCTAGTCTTCCAATCTAGGGTAGTTCTCTCTTCTTGATATTGAAGACTTTGTAGAGTCCAGGTCAGTTGTTCTACAGAATGCCCCATGTTCAGGAATTTCTCACTTTCTTTAGATGAAATTCAGACCAAATTTTTAGTAAGAATTATCAAAGGTGATTTTGTGCACCTACCACTCCATCATGTCAGTAGACACACAATGTGAGGCTGTACCACAATTAGTGATGCCAAAACTAAATGTTTGGTTAAGGTGACGACTGCCAGATTTCTTCGTTGTAAAAGCACATTTTTCTCTTTGTAATTTATAAGTAATATGTGGGAGTGATTTTTTAAAACTGTAAATATCTTGTTCCCCATCACCCTTCTACCTAGTAATTTTAGCATTCATTGATGATTCTTGTCCAAATCATTTGTAACATTGGGAGTTATAGTATTGTGATTTTAAAAATATTCTATCATTTTGTGTCACTGGTTAGATAAAATATTCTATTCAGATCTTAGGAAATCATCATTATTTGAATTTGTACTTCTTTGCCATTGCCAGGAGAAAAACTTTCAAAACAGCAGCTGCATAATTCTAACATCATTAAGAAATTAAGGGCTAAAGACAAGGAAAATGAAAATATTATTGCAAAACTGAGCAAAAAAGTTAAAGAGCTAGAAGAAGAGTTGCAACATTTAAAACAGGTGAATATTAACAATTCTCTACATATATATTATTGTTACTTTATGAACAGTTGGCTATGGTTTATAAAGCATTTGGAATAATTTTATGGGGTATATCATGTGGAAAGAATTTTTCAAACAATTTAATGGGCGACTGTTAAGATTTTTCTTCATTATTAGAACTCTTGAGATTCCTGGAATACAGTTATTTACCATGTTGTTATTTATTGAAAAATACTTTTGACTGTTTTTATAGGTGCTTGATGGCAAAGAAGAGGTTGAGAAACAACACAGAGAAAATATTAAAAAACTAAATTCTGTGGTAGAACACCAAGAGAAGGATCTTGGCCGACTTCAGGTAGACATGGATGAACTTGAAGAAAAGAACCGAAGTATTCAGGCTGCTCTTGATAGTGCATACAAGTAAGAAAATGAACAAAAATGCAACCCATTTAAAATCAAATATCAGAGCAGGATATTGAGGAAATACTTTTCCTATTATCTGATCACTAACAACATTTATAAACTTAGCTATATATGAACTTGTAACTGGTCAAAGCAAGTTCAACAGAGAGAGTCCTTATTTTAGTCAGTGTTTATTATGTGGTGAACTCTCCCTCATTCTGTAGATCTCATGGAAATCTATGTGGAAACTTCATTAACTTGGGCATGTAATCAAATGTAGATTATTTTAAATAAACATTATCAATCTAATTTTTTAAGAGAACTGACTGATCTCCACAAAGCCAATGCTGCAAAGGATAGTGAGGCACAGGAAGCTGCTCTAAGTCGTGAAATGAAAGCTAAAGAAGAACTTTCTGCAGCGCTAGAGAAGGCCCAAGAAGAAGCCCGTCAGCAGCAAGAAACATTAGCAATTCAAGTAAGCAGTGAATGATGAATTAAATTAGTCTTTTAAATCTTTGTTTGTACTTCTGCAAATTAAAGAATCCATTAGCTAGTTTGAATCAAACCTTATGTAGTGGTACATGTGTTTTATTTCATTTATAATCCTCTTGGGTATTTTTCTCAGAGTACTGGATGTGCCAATTATTATCAATTGTGTGTGGGTTTTGTTTTGTTTTGTTCTGTTTTTTACTGAAGAAGATTCACCCTGAGCTAACATCCATGCCAGTCTTCATCTGTTTTTCAGTATGTGGGCTCCCAGCACAGCATGGCCCCTAACAGAGCAGTGTGGTTCTGCGCCCAGGAACCAAACCCAGGCTGTGGAAGCAGGGTGTGCTGAACTTAACCACCAGGCTGCCGGGGCTGGCCCCAATTGTGTGTTTTTTTAATCTGTTGTTAAACTGATGCTTATATTATAGCAATATTGCTTAATTTTTTGTGATTTTCAGACTTATTTGAGAATATTATGAAAGCTAAGGACCCTCTTACCAGAGAAATGCACATATGCAGATAAATACTAAACATTGCATATAATTGCAGGAGAATCCATGGAACTCCTGAGTTCATTCATAACATCTGTGGGAGTCCATGGACCTCAGTTGATGGAGGAAAACCAAAATTTGTCAGGATTTGTCTTACAAAATCGTCAGTTGATATTTGGGTTATTTTTACTTTTTGGTTACTATGAATAATGCTGCCATAAACATTGATTTACAAGTTTTTGTGTGAACATATATTTTAAATTCTCTTAAGATATATACCTTCGGGTTATATAGTAATCCTATATTTAACTTTCTGAGGAACTGCCAAACTTCTCTGCAGCAGCTGCACTGTTTTTTTTTGTGCATGTGTGTGTGTGTATGAGGAAGATCAGCTCTGAGCTAACATCCGTGCCAACCCTCCTCTTTTTGCTGAGGAAGACTGGCCCTGGGCTAACATCCGTGCCCATCTCCCTCTACTTTATATGGGACGCTGCCACAGCATGGCTTGACAAGTGGTGCATCCGTGCACGCCCAGGATCCGAACCCGGGCTGCCAGCAGTGGAGCGTGTGCACTTAACCACTATGCCACGGGGCTGGCCCAGCTGCACCGTTTTACATTCCCAACAGCAATATATGAGGGTTTAATTTTCTCCACATTCTTGCCAATATTTATTATTGTATATTTTTTTTCATTGTAGCCCTCTTAGTGGTTGTGAAGTGGTATCTGATTGTGGTGTTGATTTATGTTTCCTTAATGACTAATGATGTTGAGCATCTTTTTATGTGCTTATTATATGGCCATTTATGTATCTTTTTTGGAGAAATTTATTCAAATATTCAAATCCTTTGCTCATTTTGTAATTGATTTGTCTTTTTGTTGTTGAGTTATAAGAATACTTTATATATTCTGCATAGTAGGCCTTTATCAGATGTAGGATTTGCAGATATTTTCTCCCATTGTATAGGTTGTCTTTCGCTTTCTTGATAGTCTCCTTTGATGCACAAAAGTTTTTTTAGTTTTGACAAAGTCCAGTTTATCTATTTTTCTTCTGTTCCTTGTGCTTTGGGCATCATATTTAAGAAACCGTTGCCTAATCCAAGCTCACACAGGTTCTCGTGTGTTTCCTTCTAAGAGTTTTATAGTCTTAGCTCTCACATTTAGGTCTTGTGTGTGTGGATGTCCAGGTGTTGCAGCCCATTTTTTGAGAAGACTATTCTTTCCTCATTGACCCCAGTGTACTTTTGATTTAATTTTATATGAATATGTAAAACATTTACATGATTCCAAGTGAGAGCTGTATAACAAAATATATTGAAACAACATTTGCTTCCAACTTAGCCCCTCCCCCTTCGCTTTCTTTGCCGATAGGTATCCATTTTATTAGTGTTTGGTTTATTTTTTCAGTGTTTCTGTTTGTAAATGCAAGAGCATATAAATATCTATACGTTTACTTATATACCTCCACACACGTACATATACACACATATACTTATACACATATTTATTTGCATCTTCCTCATCCTTTTTACATAAAATATAATTTACTATTTATACCATTTTACAGCTTGCTTTATCTATTTAATAAAATATCCTGATGATCACTCCATAGTAGAACATAGAGCTTTTCAAAAAATTTCCTTTTTACACTTTTATGATACTTCATTGTATGAATATACCATTGTTTATCCAGTCAGTTCTTATTGATGGATATTGGGGTTGTTTCTAATATTATGCTGTTATAAATCATGCCATGGTCCATATCCCCCTTGTGTTTCTGCCACTCTGTCACTGGGATAGATAAAATCTTAATATTTTAAATTAGAAATACTAGAAAAATAATAAAGAAAAATTGGAAGGATGGGAGGTAGAGAGTGTATGGGACTACCATTCATAAAATCGTCATCTTTTACAAGTACTGTCAATTTTGTGTATTAATTCTTGTCCTTATCTCCATGTACATAATTTTTATAATTGATATCATATATATTATTTTACAGTTTTTCATTTAAGATTAAATCATAAAATTTTACGTTTTTTATATTCATAATTTTTAATAAGTATATTCATGTTGTATTGACATTTGCAAAAATAGATTACTACCGATGGATATTTAGAATGTTTCCTGTTTTGTTTGGTTTGCTAGTCTAGCTAACAGTGTAGGGAACATCTTTGTATGTTTATAGATCTGCTTCCATAGAGTAAATTCTCAGGTGAATCACTAGGATGACCAGGTGAAAGGGTGTGAAAAGTTTGATGGTTCTTTAAACATGTTGCCATAATGTTTTCCAAAAAGGCTATAGCAATTTACAGTGTGTGCAGCTGTGTCTGAGTATAGCATCTAGTTTTTATAGCTCATACAGCTCCTGTCACACTCTGCCTTACACTGCAAACGTTTGTGGATGCATTGTCTCTCTCCTTCTAGATGTATGGCAGTGGCTGTGCCTTGTACATATTTTTATGCTTTTTTTTTGCCTAACAGTGCTTTCCTAAATAGGTATTGAATATACATAGTTTTGGAATTGCTTGATGAATGGGATGTGTGATAATCACATGTAAAATCTCTTTGCATAGTATTGAATATTAGAGGTGAACAATAAGTCAACACAACACAAAATATGTAGTTAGCAAGAAGTTATAGATAATGTTTTAATATTGTTTGTGACAGTGTATTTGTTCTCCTCATACAGGTGGGGGACCTTAGGCTGGCACTGCAACGTGCAGAACAAGCAGCTGCCAGAAAAGAGGATTATTTACGTCATGAGATCAGTGAACTCCAACAGGTACTGTCACAGTTTTCCTAAACACGAATCCAAGATATGTTTCCCTTGAAATAAAAAATGACTCAGTGGGGTTATGTTCATGGAATTGAGAGGATTACTACCATATTTATCATTTGCTGTATTATTGTGGTTTGTGTGAATAAAATCAGACTGGGCACCTTAAAAATATACAAAAAGATCCCTAATGTTGTTTTATAGAAAATAATTTTATCATGATTATTGTGTATTCAATATTATTTTTTCATTTGTAATAGCTTGTTTATTAGTATCAGTCTTTGACTACTGTGGGGTAGATAATCAATGCCCAGTTTTTATGCCACTACTCTATTAATTTTCAGTCAATGAACATGCACAGGAAAAGGGAGAGAAAATGCAACTCAGATTGATCTTTCTGTTTTAATAAATGCGTAGAAGTATTTGGATAAGAAGGCAACTTCTTTATCTTAGACAAGATATCTTCATTATCTTCCTTATCTTTGTCTTAGAAATGCTTTATAAAGAAGCACTTATTTAGATACTGTGTTATGCATCTTAACTCTAACTTAAGGATTGAATAATTAGAAAATAATTTAATATAAAAGTATCTTGAAGAAATAATTTTTTACAGAACTCTCTCATGAAGTTTGTTTGCTAGTGTTTTTATTGCTGTCGGTACTAATGACTTAAGAATTTTGTGCTTCAGAGACTCCAGGAAGCAGAGAATAGAAACCAAGAACTGAGTCAAAGTGTTTCATCAACAACAAGACCATTGCTTCGACAGATAGAAAATTTGCAAGCAACTCTAGGATCCCAGACATCGTCGTGGGAGAAGTTGGAGAAGAGTCTTTCTGATAGGCTTGGTAACTGCTTTAGTTCTTATGCTCAAGGCAGAAGCCCTTCCATCTTGTTTGTAGAATTAGGATAATAGTATGAAATTGAAATTCACTTGATGTGATATTTATATTTTGTGTCTAACTTTTAGATTTTTACCTCTTCTCCTCTTTTACATTTGTTTTCTAATATCTTAATATTGACTCTTTCAAAGTGTTTGTTTTCCCTCCCAGAGTGTGTCAGATAGTGTCTAAGATACTTCTGTGTCATCCTGTCATTCATTTTTTCAGACTGCTGCACTCAGTTTTTTCTTTGTCAGTTGCCAAATCTGACCCCTTTCTAGCTTGTCTGCAATAGTGTAGGAGGTGGAGATCAGATATGACTCTAGTCAGTGGCAGAATTCCAAGAGCAGAGATAAGTCTAAGAAGGATCAAGGTCAAATTCTGGTAGACAAAGGTTATGGAGTCTTAAGATTCCATATTCTGTTTCTTTACAGAAACACTCCAGGTTGCCCTTCTCTGCTGTTAATAAAAGGAAAATTATTCTTCCAAGATGTTTATTCAAGCACAGACGGGTAGTGTATGTATATCATAGATATCCCAGAAGCTGGCAAATTCATGAAAAATTCATGTGTCCATTCTATGCCTAAAACTAACTGTAATTTGAGAGACTTCATGGTGTAGTGATAAAAGCAGACCTGAATGGGTGTCAAGAGACATGGACTCAGGGGTTTTATGTTTTATTTTCTTTTGTTTTTAATCATCCAGCCAAACAGTCTGAAATATGTCATTTACCTTTTCTGGGCTACTCCCTGTGCATCAAAAGGGGTGAACTAGATTAGTGCCTTTCAAACAGTATTCAGTAGATCCCTCAGATGTCTTAGGGCTAGCTGTCATGGTGAGAAGGAAGCTCGATAAAGCAAGTGCTGGGCTTCCTCCAGACTGCTTTAATGAAACTAGTGCCTTCTCTGTCTTTTTTTATGGAGTCCCCCTTAAGATTTTGTCAGGGAAAAAGAATCATCTGCTTAAAAAAAAAAAAAAAATCACTAAACTAGGTGAACTTTTATATATTGTTTAATTTGTAGGTATAAATTTTAGGTCTGTCATTTATCTGTGACAACTTTTTGAGATCAATTTGTTATGAAATATGAGACATCTGAAAATGACACCTCTGAAACAAATATTTATTTAGCAATAAATGAAAGATAGAAGCCATTATTTTTGTGGTTTTTAAACTGGAATCCACATACCCTCGAGGATATGTGGTGTTATGCTGGAATACAGGCAAAGCTACAGAACAGATGTGCCACATGATGGTGTGTCTACTTTGGGGGGGGGGAATATGAGAATTCTTGCCTTGGTTAAATTTCAGAATCTTATCCACTAATCTTTTTTTTACTTGTAATTTTTTATTGAGATAATTTAGATTCAGTGCAGTTATTAGAAGTCATACAGAGAGGTCCCTTGCATGCTTTGCCCAATATCCCAAATGTTAACGTTTTGCAAAATCGTAGTATAACATCACAACCAGGGTATTGACATTGATACAATCTACTGATTTTATTCAGATTTCTGCAGTTTTGCTGGTACTCATTTGTGTGTGTGTATTAAGTTCTATATAATTTTATCACCTGTGTAGGTTCATATATCCATCACTATAGTCAAGATATTGAGCACTACCAAGATTCCTCACGTTGCCCTTTTATAACTACACTTACTAGCCTCCTGCCCTCCCTCCCTACCCCAAATCTCTGGCAACCGCTAAACTGCCCTCCATTTCTAAAATTTTGGCATTTCAAAATGTTATATGAATAGAATTGTATAATATGTAACATTTTGGGATTGGCCTTTTTAGTTCAGCATAATTCCCTGGAGATTCATTCAAGTTATTGTGTGTATCAGTGATTTAGTCTTTTTACTGCTGAGTGTTTTCCCATGGTATATGTATGTACCACAGTTTGTTTAACCACCTACCTGACGAAGGGTGTCTGGGCTGATTCTAGGTTTTGACTCTTCAGATAAAGCTGCTGTGAACATTCATGTACAGGTTTTAGTGTGAACTTAAGTTTTCATCCCTCTGAATAATTGCCCAAGTGTGTAATTGCTGGGTTGTAAGGGTGGTTGCATATTTAGTTTTTTAAGAAGATGTCAAACTGTTTTCCAAAGTGGCTGTATGTGTGAGAGTAATGCAATTTCTTCACATCCTTACCAGCATTTTGTGTTGTCCCTATTTTTTCTTTTAGTCCTTCAGACAGGTGTGTAGTAGTATCTCTTTATGATTTTAATTTGCATTTCCCTAATGCTTAATGGTATTGAACACATTTCATGTGCTTGTTTTTCATTCATACATCCTTCTCAGTGAAATGTCTATTCATATCTTTTGCCCATTTTCTAATTGGATTGTTTGTATTTTCACTCTTGAGTTTTGAGACTTCTTTATATACTCTAGATACTAGTCTTAGATATGTGGTCTGCATTTATTTTCTTTGAGTCTATAGCTTGTCTTTTCATCCTCTTCATATAGGGCAAATGTTTAAAATTTTGAAGTTCAGTTTATCAGTTTTTCTTTTTATGGGTCATGGTTTTGGTGTCAAACCTAAATACTTTTTACCTATTCCTAGATCCTAAAGATTTCTCCTATGCTTTTTACCAAAAAGTTTTATAGTTTTATTTTACACTTAAGTTTATGACCCATATTGAGTTAATTTTTGTATATGATGTGAAGTTTACTTTGAGGTTCATTTTTGTTTTGTTTTGTTTTTTCCTATGGATGTTTAATTGCTCAAGCACCATTTGTTGATCCATTGCTTTCTTAATACATGACTCCACTTTCAAATTAAAATATTTTGGGGAACAAAATGAGAAAGCAGGTATAGATTGAGATTGGTTCTTTTGTCTCTTTAGGCAGTCCCACCTTAGGCAATAAGTAGTTATCAGTTTTAAGTGTGGCTACTTGCATCATTAAAAGTTCAAAGTAAGAATCTACCTAGTATCTTGGTCTCTTGGGTATGTGTATATGTGACTTTTATTGTTTATCCTACAATCAGGTGAATCCCAGACCTTGTTGGCAGCAGCAGTAGAAAGAGAACGTGCGGCTACAGAAGAACTCCTTGCCAACAAAATTCAGATGTCTTCCATGGAGTCACAGAATTCTCTCTTAAGACAGGAAAACAGTAGATGTCAGGCCCAGCTAGAATCAGAGAAAAATAGGCTAAGAAAACTGGAAGATGAAAATAATAGGTGAGCATATTTCTTGAGTGTTAGTCTTGGTAGTTTCATGACATTTTAAAACACTTAAAAAATATGTTGTTGGCTTTTAGCTTCATAGCACCGAGAACTAAAAATAAATACTTGTAGTGTTTTAAGTCAGTCATTTGTAATAGGATATGATAGCAAGATAGTACTGGGATTCATTGCAGGCTGTTGAAATTGTGTGGCGTGTTTTATATGTATTCGCATTTTCCAGTGAAAGGATTCACAGCTTTTATCAGGTTTTTTAAATGAGTCTGTAACCACAAAAGAGTTTGGAGACCTCACTCATTGGAGTTATTTTTATATTACAGGGGTTTTGGCAGTATTTCAGTATTGCTAAATAAATGTCTGGGTTGTTTGGAAACCACAATCTATAAAATCCATCTATGTGAAATTATATTAAGGCTGTGATTAGTGTGTTTTTACCCTCTGAGTTCTTCCTTGGAAATTTTACTTTAAAAAAAAGTCAAGTAAAAATGATGTATAAAGTAAAATAAAATATCTGAACTTTTACAAACATTTTCATAGAACCCCTTAACAAACTTTTGTAGAATCTTGAGAGTATTATACAGTGGTGGTATTCAAAATTATTTTTAGAAAATCTGTTTTTAAATGAAATCCTAACCCAGAGCACCAATAAGTAAAATGTACAAAAGTGGAGCTTTTTCACTTGTAGTTCAGCTTCTGAGTAAAACCCAAGTCATTTGGAAAATACAGTTGGAAAATCACTAATGTCAAGCTGGTAATATTTAAATATGTAACTGGAGTTAATAAAGTAGTAAGTTTTGAATAGTCTGTACTCAGTCATCTTTTTTGTTTTGTTTGATTCCCTCTGGCTTAATAGGTACCAGATTGAATTAGAAAACCTAAAAGATGAATATGTAAGAACACTTGAAGAGACAAGGAAAGAAAAGGTATTTCTATTAGTGTTTGCTCACCTCTTAGGGCTTCCATTAGAGAATGGTTGGGGATGATAGCAAACTAATGAGAAAACAAGATGAAATGGGGGATGTTACTGCTTTTAGAACCTGGTCTTCAGTAGTAAAACAAATAGGAGTATAGACTTTACGCTCCTAACTTTGAGATTAATTTATTGTGATGCCATGAATTATTATCACAGAAATTATCTAATTGTATCTCTCCATTAGACACTGTTGAATAGTCAGTTAGAAATGGAGAAAATGAAAGTGGAACAAGAAAGGAAGAAAGCAATTTTCACTCAAGAAGCAATAAAAGAAAAGGTATTGAATTTTGTGTTTTGTTTTGTTTTTGGGGTAACTAGTACCTATTGTGATTAATCATTGATTGTTTTGTAATTTTAGCTATACTTTAGAAATACCAGTTCTTATGTCTAAAGTCAATACAGTCATGAATCTAGTAGTTTGATCAGTGTCCTGCTCAGGTGGATCCAAAGTAATTTGAGTTTATCCAAAGAGATTGTGATTTCTTGGATTCGAATTACAGAACCTCTTGCCCCTTTTTAAATGAATTTTGTGGTCTCTCACTGAAACTAATGCACCTCATTTGGCCCATAGGCACCTTAGGAGTAAAACTGGTTTGTTCACTGTCTTTCTGGTTAATGAAGGTAATTTTTCTAAAGTGAGTTTCCTTTATTTAAAGGATTGGAGTGTACTTGTTAGTTATTAAATATATTAAATATTTTAAAACTACCTAAATGTAATTGACATTACCTTTTGAATTTATTTGGAATTAAAATAAAATACACTGAAAATAAAATGGATAAGCCAGAAACTTTATGGTTTTGCAAAACTCATTGGTAATCTGATTCTAAAGAAATAGGTTTAATTGGTGATATGTTATATAATATGAAGCAGTTCGTTCGTGTAATTGTTTCAACAAAAACATTCTCATTTCATTAGAAATAAACCACATTATGTTGTTGTAATATAAATGGGTCCTGAGATGATTTGACCAACCCTATCTACACATGTAAATTATTAAATATTGTGCCTTTGATAAGACTTCAGAGAAATCATATCTGTAACATTTTTTGGGGAAATTAGAATGAGTCTTTGTTGTCATTAGTCCTAGAAAAGTTTCCTGCTTTTTCTATTTATCTCTTTTTAAATCTATTTTACTTTTTAATCTGAACTGAATTTTTTTTTTCACTCCCTAAGGATCGGAAGCCATTTTCTGTTTCTAGCACTCCCACGATGTCCCGCTCGAGTTCAATAAGTGGAGTTGATATGGCAGGGCTACAGACATCTTTCATGTCTCAGGTGATGTTTTATTTCTTACGTGTGTTTAGTTCTTAAACTGAATAATAATAATAAAGGGAATATGCAGATAGCAGTTTGGCTGTCACCATGACCTTGCCATTCTGTAGGCAATTCATCTGAATATTTGTGAAGGAGTGCTAATTGCAGTGAGGAAATATGGATGATTTTTTACCTTTAAGAAAGTCATAGAGGGGCCGGCCTGGTGGCATAGCGGTTAAGTGCGTGGGCTCCGCTGCTGGTGGCCCGGGTTCGGGGCCCTGGCGCGCACCGATGCACTGCTTGTCAGGCCATGCTGTGGTAGCGTCCCATATAAAGTGGAGGAAGATGGGCGCGGATGCTAGCCCAGGGCCAGTCTTCCTCAGGAAAAAGAGGAGGATTGGCATGGATGTTAGCTCAAGGCTGATCTTCCTCACAGGAAAAAAAAAAATGTCATAGACATTTTAAAGCAAGAATTGACAGGATTATTTTGTTTGAACCTTATAATGGAACACAATCTATAATAACTGAATAACTGTATGTGCTTTCTTTAATTAACTTAGGATGAGCCTCATGATCACTCATTTGGACCAATGTCTGTATCGGCAAATGGAAGCAATCTTTATGATGCTGTAAGGATGGGAGCAGGATCAAGCATTATCGAAAATCTACAGTCTCAGTTAAAGCTAAGGGAAGGAGAAATTACTCATTTACAGGTATTGGAAAAATTAAATATGCTATTTAAAAGTAAATGAAATTTTGAGGCCCAATAATTAGCACCCTTTATTTCCACCTAAATTCTGAGCACATTGAAAAATAAAATGTAATAGTGGCCTGTGAAGCCCAAAATGTATCACATATATTAATGATAAAGGCTAGTTGGAGAAATTAGCCAAGGAAGAGAGCCAAATGAGCCTGCTGACTGATTGCCAGAATTAGGCAGATGTACCAGCTCTGTCACGGGAAATGCTGGGCTGGAGTAGGCCTCCCCATGTCTTGTAACCTGCCTAAGTAAGACTTATAGGCATCTAGGAGCAGAGAACTCCTTGCAGGCAGGTTTTTCCAAACAGAAAAAGAGGGAAATTGCCGAGCTGTGCATACCTCTTCTTCCCAGATTTACCACTTAGAAAAGCTGCTCCAGCTACCCCTGTGAGGAATGAGTAAAGGTGATGAGAGAGGTTAGAACTGTCACATCCTGCACAGGAAAGGAAGCACCATGAGTGGGGAGAGAGCATCCTCTCATCTTAGCTTGCTTTTTAAAAACTTAAAACAGTAAGAAATGTTAAAACATTTTACCTATTTTCAGTGTTAAAGTTGATATACTCAGAAGTAAAACTTTCTTCTTCTGTTTCTTCTATTTCTTCTTTTTCTAAACCATTATATGATTTTTGTTAGTTGAAAATATTACTCTATTAAAGAAGACGTCCTTGAATTGGAAAAAAATAGATCAGAATAATCTTAATACCTGTTAGGTTTGCGTAGCCCAGTATGCTGTACTTGAGAGCCCATATTAACTTCTTCGGTAGTGACGATGGATTCTATCAATATGCCCTACACAGTTGGGGCTACATTAAAGTATGTTTTTATTTCTCTGGGTTTTTGTAGTAATTTAGAATAACTGAAATATATGCTATTTCCAAAATTAGAGAAAAATAGAGGGTTGCGTATTTCAAAGAGATGGTTGGATTTTCCTTAGTTCTCTCTCTCTCTCGTATAGTGAACCCTAAGAATGGTATACCTCTGAGAAAAACTGAAACTCTTTTTTTTTTTTGGCCACCATTTCCTTTACTTAAGAAGGAGGTAGCTCATGGTTATATGTTGACATATCTGTTTCTTCAAAAATAACACATTAAACATGTTTATATTAGTGGGAGTATTAAACAAAATATATTTTGACTTAAATTACTTTCTGGTTATGTTTCTCAGCTAGAAATCAGCAATCTAGAAAAAACTCGCTCAATAATGGCTGAAGAGCTAGTTAAATTAACAAATCAAAATGATGAACTTGAAGAGAAAGTGAAGGAGATACCCAAACTTCGAACTCAGCTACGAGTAAGTATTCTTCATTTAAGGATGAGTCTAAGGAATTTTAATCCAGTTACATTAAATCTCATATTTTTAGTTTACATAAAATGCACATATGTGTATGTTAATGATTTCTTTGAAAATTAAAAAGTATTAATATTAAAGAACTTTAAATCTTTTGTCTTGCTTGTCACCTTTCGCATTCAAAGTATTTTTCACAATCATGTTTAGTCCCAATATAGGAAAATAACTAGATTTTATTTGGCCAAGGCTCATTTGTAATCTGCACTTTGTATAACTTTAGTAGTAGTTTGTTCATTTATGTTGTATGTATCATCACGATTAGCAAATTTGGTATTAGGAGTCACTGTTAAGCCATAAATGAAAATATATTTTCTTTTGACTTTTCCTGTGGGGTAAATGCCAGGTAATACTTAAACCACAATGAACCAAAGATACTGAAATTTCCTCTGATATGCTTAAATTAATGGGAGAAAAGATAGATTAAGCTATATATGGGGAGAATTGTAGATTTAGTGGGGAGATATGGTAAGATTGATAGCCATCTGGCTTGGTTTTGTTTTTTTTGTTTTTAATACTTCTACTTGCTGTTTATTCCAACAGACTGGAGTGTGAGTTTAACTTTTATAAGATACGAGTATATACTTATGTTTAGATTTTAATGTTTTACTGGTGACTCATTTATGATAATGTAAATAATTAAAGATGTTCTGTAGTTATTTTAAAAATTATAAACAAATATATTTTGTAGGATTTGGATCAAAGATACAACACTATTCTGCAGATGTATGGAGAAAAAGCAGAAGAGGCAGAAGAACTTCGATTAGATCTTGAAGATGTAAAAAATATGTATAAGACTCAAATAGATGAACTTTTAAGACAAAGGCTCAGTTAACTTCTGAAAATTACATTCCTATCAAACTGAATGTAAACATTTAATATCTAAAGGCAGACTTCCAATAAATTCTTTTATAGAATTAGAAAGTGGAATTTACTGTAGAGTTCAAAAATTGAAAAAATAATTGTTTTATAGTATAGTAATATTTGCAGTTAAATTATTTTGTGCAATATTTGAACTTTATTTTTGAAACTATTCTTTAAAAATTTATTTTTTAAAGTGTTCTTTTTTTTTTTTTTGCCTTGACTAGCACAGAGATTTATTACTTTATCTTCATATCAATATGGTTAGGGAAGGAGAATGATGTTCATATATGTATTGTAGATATATAACTAATTGTATCTATAATTTGTATGTGTTTGTATATATTGAAAACATTTAAAGAATGATGTTAACATATTGAAACTTTGAAATCTTTCACACAACTCTTTAATGTATCTAATTACTACTCATGAAAATGGACATTAAGTGATCAAGTAAAAAAATTATTAAACTTGCAGTTATTACATTTTGAACTAATTTTTTTTCTTTTAAAGTAGAAGTCACACTGACACTGTCTGAAGTTTAAAGGGTGAATAATTTAAACTTTAAAATTTTGTGGTCTGAATACTTATTTCCCCCAGATTCCATGATTAAGTCTGTACAAATTTTGGTACCTATCTTGAAAAAGCTATAGCTATTCAAAGTTATCTAGGCATAATTGATAGTGGAAAAAATTTACTTATAATGATTTTGTGTTGGTATCAGTAAGATTTAGGTGATTTTGAAAAGGTATTGTTTTACTACCTTATAAAACGAATCAAAAGTAATAAAATTATTAACATAATTTTCTCTTTAAAAATTGTTCACATTTTGTAAAGCTTTATTTTTGGCACATTAAAAATGAATGATATTACAGAATATTCGTAACAAAATAGAGAAATTATGGGAGTTAATTTAAATTTGGCATTTGCAATTCTGTGTAATTTATCATTTTATTTTTTTCTTGAACCTTTAAACACAAAAATAGGGTGGAATAGCTTTAAAAAATAGCTATGCTTTCTTCCAACTGTTTGTTCAAAATTAACTGGGCTGTGTTTTAGACTTGTGAAATATTTTGATACATTTTATTACTGAAAGTCATTTGGCTGCCTTTACTTGCAAATAAAAACTCTCATTTAATTTTTAGTTGAATTTTAAACACTATAACTTTGAAATATAGTTACAAGTAAGCCATGTTGATGAATTTGGAATGCTTTTCAGGGCAATTCAAGTGACCTCATTTTAGTTCTTTTTGTATTCCAGACAGTATTTCTGTCGTGGGATCTCTGATTTGTAGCATTAATAAATATTCTTTCAATGTGAGCCAAATTCATAAAATTAATTTTCTATATTTTAGTGGTAAGAAAACAGTGTAATAGCTTTTTGTCAGCTTGATTTTTTTTTTTTTTTTTAATATTCAGGGGCTGACAGACAAGACTGATAGCAATAAGAAATGTACAGAATCAGAAAATAATAGGAAATTTAAATGTAGGAAGCTTGCTAAATTCTTTCAAGCGTTTGCAACTAGAAGTTTAGGAATTATGAAATTGTTCTTTCCAAATATCCATTAGTGAGAAAAAAAAGTTGTAGAGAAAAGATTGAAATAAAACTTGTATACCTTTCAATTTCATAATATTAAACATTCTCTTTTCTTAATTCTTATTAACATTAATAAAATGAATTCAACTTAAAATTTTAAAGTGTTTTCAATTTATTTAATTTAAAAATGACAAGCAGCTATTTAAAGTCTCAGGCTGTATATCACCATATGTTATTCACCGACAAATTAAAAATCGTATTCATACTGATCTTATTTTGATTATTATACATTTAGATCTCTCAATACATTTATAAATTGAGAAGCTGTGCTGAATCAGTTTCTTGAAAAACTCTAAGTGGCAGAGTATTGATTACTATATTTTGCTGTTTGTCATTAAAACTTCTCTATCCATATTCTAGTAAAATAGTGTTTCTCTTTTAATGGATAAGAAATAGTTTGCAATTAGATGTTTCCATTCTTGAAAGAAAACAGGAAAATACTACAAATCCTAACAATTTCAAGAATATAAAAAAAGGGTAGAAGAGGTGTGAACATTGTTGTTTTATAGATCAGCAATTAAGCACAGACTATAGGTGTCCTTCCACCTCTTGTGAAGCTAAATTGAGACGACCATTTCTTTCTTTTCCTTTGCCTCCTTTTTGAGACCTTCCAGTTTTACAGTGCTTAGCATATGGGAATGTATCAAATATATCTATATTGTGATTTAAGATATTCTAAATATGAATAATTTCTGACCTACTGAAACGAGTTTTTGTAGTTAAGTGAAAAGAATGTTCAGGAAAATTTTTTTCTCATGATCTCTCAATTGGCATTTGATTTATTAATTGAAATTTTCATTAGAATGCTTATTAAAAGTATATGATTTATAGTATTTAGAAAATAGCCACGAGAAAGAAAATAACTAGATATTTTATCTTGTTTCACTATTTAGTATGTATGCGTTTATGTTCTAACGTATCATAATTTTGCATCTTCATTTTCTAAAAAATTAATTTCCCCTCTCCTATTCAGTTTTAAACTATAACAACTAATTTCATATTTTGTAAAGGGCTAAAACGTATGATTTAAACTACAGATTGATACTATAATATTTTAATTCTAAATGAAAGATATTGTAAATAATAAGCATGAACCTGATTTGAATAAAGATTTTAAAATAGTAATAATGTATTTCATTTTTAACATAATTTGGAGTGGTTAATACCAATGAATGAAGATAGTATTGTTTTATGATGATACTGTAACTTGTATATCTTTGGAATTCATATTTTAAGAAAATGAGGATAAGCCCAAATTTTCTGTGAGTTATATTGAGTATTAGTGTTAAGCATAGTTTTTCTAATGAAGATACATTTTTGGAAAACATAATTCTAAGAATTTACTTATTGTAACTAGCAATTACTATAAGGATGATTTGTGGTTTTTTTTAAATCTTAAACAGTATCAAGATATTCTTCTAAAGTCTTATAACATTTCTATATTCAAATAATAACAGATAAAATAAGTTACCCTCTATTTCTGAGTTCATATTGCTTGTACTATTGAACTCTGCAACTTTGATCCTTTAAAGTACTTTTAAGCTATTGCCTTACACATATCCATTTTACCTTTTAGCAAGTCAATATCCTTTAACAAGATAGAATGAAAATTAAATATATCTTTCTTCTTAATACTTAAATACTTTTTCACAAAACAAACAAAACCCAAGTGCTTTAGTAATCCATGATTGTGATGCAGAGAATTTACTCTTAGTGCTGTGTAGAATTTATTCTTCATACTGCCCCATTCCCAAGTAAGCTAAATTTAATTTTAGAATCCTCAAATAATACTAAGCAAGGGGTAATGGGAGGTTTTTCTGTTTCCTTAATATTAAACTGTCATCTTGCTTTTACAGGTAGTGATGGGCAGAGCATTGTAGATAGAGGTGTTCCTTTTAGTTTTATACAATGCCATGCTCATTAGTGTCTTTTGAAATTAGAATCTTAATTTTTAAAAGTAGATGTTCAAAAATCTGTGGTGATATTGATAATAGGAAACACACTACTTACTTTGTAACTGTAAGGAATTTATTTATGTAAGAACATAATCTCTTATCTACTGTTCTGAAATCCAGAAAGCTCTAAAAACCAGGTGGTTTTTAGATGAGTTTGCTGTCATATCTGCTTTAGTGGTAAAGTCTGACCTGCAGTGACATGGGGCTATTTATAGGCTTTATCTCACATAGAGTACTCATACATTTTGCTGCAGAAATACTGGGTGAGATTATGGGGTGCTGACACAGGGCACAATGAGGGTGTTCTGTAGTAAATGGTGTGCATACTCTATAAAAAAAATTCAGGAACACAAATGGTCCCAAGGATCTTGGAAAAGGAATTGCACTTTATTTTCAGTTCAGCCTTTTAAAGTTGATACCATTATCATCTCCATTTTTAAAATGAAGGAAGGTTAAGTAACTTGCTCAAGGCCATACGGCAAGAAAGTGGCAAAGCTGGGATTCTCATTGATGCAGTTTGGCTCCAGCGTCCGTGTTCTGAGCCATTCACTACACGGTGCTGCTTCTCCTACTGCTTTTCTGTAAAATCATAAGATCAACTTCAGTCAAAATTTATTCACTTAAAACTTCAATACATTTGCATTATGGTTTAAGCGGTTGCATATATCAGAGAACCAATAAGCTGTAGTCTGCTGATAGTTTAGCATTTTTCTAACATTGTTTATGAGCTATCCAAAATGTCAATATATGAGCAGCAAACTTACAACACATTTAGCAAACTTGTAATGCAATGTAAAAATTATGATTATATAAAATTTCAAATGTACACGAAAGAACAGAGTATGAATCGCCATATACTCACTAACATATGCTCCTTAATAGTGTTCAACAGTTCATGGTCTATTTTGTTTTATTTATACCTCACTTGTGCTTCCTCTCAACCCACACTGACTATTTTGAAGCAAATTTCAGACGTATCATTTGATTATCATATTTAAGTTTGGAATATTTCTGTAAAAATTAACTTTACTTCATCAACTATTTGGTTACTTGCATCATGATTCATACGGGAAAGACAAGATAAACATGTTTGATTCTTTATTTACCAGTTTTCACAATAAGAGTTGGTTCCTTTCATCAAAGATGAACAATAAGCTTTTTGGCTTGTGTATTTGGTTGATTGGTTAGATCTTTTTGAATAGAATATTTAAATATATTTGTGCTTCAATCCATTACAGTTACCTTTATTGATGCTTTAAATGATCCTGTCTTTGGCCAGAGGGAGCCTTTTCAAATTGGTTCCTGAGTCCTTTTGATATGATCCTCATACCTTTTCATTGCTTCCCTGCTTGGTCATGTAAGATCTTTCAGGTTCTCCTTGTACATTTCCTGCTGCATACCTAAGATGATCCATTTTTCTGTGGAGCCTGTGTTCCTTTTAATAGGGAAAGGGTTTGCAGAGATTACAGTCTGGGCACAAGGGGTGCTTCTTCCTGCAGGGTTTGTTGTTTCTAGGCCTTTTTAATGGACAGTAGAGGAGAGATTTGTTTTTAAAAATAAAATATATTGTTAATTCATATTCTTACCACCAATTCAAATTCAGAACTACTGGATTCTTATATGACCTCATCAGGCTAACATCTGTATCGCATGTCAAAAATTTCAGCTTCAAAGATACCTTCTTAGTTACTCTTTTTTTTGTGTGTGAGGAAGATCAGCCCTGAGCTAACATCCATGCCAATCCTTCTCTTTTTGCTGAGGAAGACCGGCCCTGAGCTAACATCTATTGCCAATCCTCCTCCTTTGTTTTTCCCTTTTTCTCCCCAAAGCCCCAGTAGATAGTTGTATGTTGTAGTTGCACATCCTTCTAGTTGCTGTATGTGGGACGCGGCCTCAGCATGGCCGGACAAGCCGTGCGTCGGTGCACGCCCGGGACTGAACCCAGGCCGCCAGCAGCGGAGCTCGCACACTTAACCTCTAAGCCAAGGGACCGGCCCTCCTTCTTAGTTACTCATATTTGGTTTATCCCCACCAAGATTGCCACCAACAATTTGGCTACTGAAAACAGTTTACAATTTTTTTTGTAATTCTTTTAGTCCTGAAGGTACATCCTACAAGGATATAAAAATTACGTTTCCAAGTCACTTGGGATAGTTTCTCTGTTGTGTTATATGCCACAACTGAATAGCATTTAGATTCATTTTAATTTCAATTTTCAAGGATTACTTTTTAAAAATTTCCTTTTGTTTTATTATGTAAAATATTTACATGATTCTAAAGTCACATCTATGTAATGTGTATTCAAAGATGTTATATTCTGGGGCTGGCCCCGTGGCTTAGCGGTTAAGTGCGTGCGTTCTGCTGCTGGCGGCCCGGGTTCGGATCCCGGACGTGTACCGACGCACCACTTCTCCGGCCATGCTGAGGCCGCGTCCCACATACAGCAACTAGAAGGATGTACAGCTATGACATACAACTATCTATTGGGGCTTTGGGGGGAAAATCAATCAATAAATAAAAATTATAAAAAAAAAAAAAAGATGTTATATTCTTTGTCCCCTCTACCCATATTTCCTCCTTCCCCCTATAGGTAATCATTTTAAATCTTATTCTATTTGTAAAATAACAATTACATATATACCTCCTTTCCTAGATAAATGATAGCATATTACACATCCTTTTCCATCGTGCTTTTTCCACTCAATGACATATCCTGCAGTATATAGATATATTTCTCAATCCTTTTTTATGCCTGCATAGTTCTACATTGTGTGGATACACCAAAATTTAATTCAAGCAGTCTCCTATCAGTAGACATTTGAGTTTATTCTAAGGTGAATAATTAAATTTTAACATTGATTGATATTTGGGGGGCAGGGAATTCTATGTTGAGAATGGCTGTTGCGGTATGAGAGAACTCAATCTCACATTCTTAAAGCCCCATATCTTATTTCCTCTGAGTCTGAATGATCAAAACTTAATATGTAGCCATTTAAAATAGCACCATGTGCATGTCACACCAATTTAATTGGCTTGTTATGTCCTTGCAATAAGACTAACCTATTTTTAGAAGCCTTTCTCATGTATTAGGCTTTAAAAAATATATATATATTATATATATCTTTATTGCACACCACTCAGTGGCAAACTAGCTTGTTTAAAAGTTTATTTTAAAAGACTGCAATTCGGGGCTGGCCCCGTGGCTTAGTGGTTAAGTGCGCACGCTCCGCTGCTGGCGGCCCGGGTTCGGATCCCGGGCGCGCACCAACGCACTGCTTCTCCGGCCATGCTGAGGCCGCGTCCCACATGCGGCAACTAGAAGGATGTGCAACTGCGACCTGCAGCTATCTACTGGGGCTTTGGGGGAAAAAAAAAGGAGGAGGATTGGCAATAGATGTTAGCTCAGAGCTGGTCTTCCTCAGCAAAAAAGAGGAGGATTAGCATGGACGTTAGCTCAGGGGTGATCTTCCTCACACAAAAAAAAAAAAACCCAAAGACTGCAATTCATTTTGAATTAACTAACAGGAAAGCTACATTTCCTGTACATGACAAAAATAGGATGGTGGCAAGTAGGGCTGAGAAAGCACTTTTAGACATTACTGTCCTTATTGGTATGGGGTGGGCAAAGTAAGCAATAATAGAGAGTACTTCCCTTAGAGGCAGAATCTTTTACATAAAGAGTAGGTTAATACTGTAAAGTGCTTTAGAATAATGCTTGGCATTTGTCAAATACCGTGTGTGTTTTTTGTTGTTATTTGGAAAAAATAATCTAGATAACATTCCTAATTTAGCAGGTTACTAATGGAACTTGTAACAATTCTGATAACAGCATCTAAAAAGTTATTTAAGGGGCCAGCCTGGTTGCCTAGTAGTTGAGGTCCTGTGCTCAGCTTTGGCAGCCCCGTGGTTCATGGGTGGGTTTGGAACTCTGGGCTCAGACCTACACGCTGCTCATCAAGCCATGCTGTGATGGCATCCCACATACAAAATGGAGGAAGACTGGAACAGATGTTAGCTCAGGGCCAATCTTCCTCAAGCAAAAAGAGGAAGATTGGCAACAAGATGTTAGCTCAGGGCCAATCTTCCTCAGGAAAAAAAGAAGCATGTAAGCCTTTGGAAACAAACTGTTGTGTTTCCTTATGATCATATTACTTAATACTGGTGACTACGTGTCTGAGCAGAAGTGTATTTTGATGGTATCAACCTTCATTTAACCAGTTCAAGTTGAATCAGTATTGATCGACCCTACTATGCTCTATACTAGACAGCATACTAGAACCAAGGGTGCCAAGAGTAGAAGACAGTGTGGGAGATGGGCTTTCCAATAATTATGATAAAATAAAAATAAGCAATTGTAATTCAAATAATTAGAATAAAACGATAAAAATCGAACTCCACAGAGTAGCCTTTGGACTTGCTGAGTTTTCGGATAGCACGGTATGGAGAGGCAAGTATACTACTATCTACTGTGCGAGGACTCCACAGAATCCTCACCACCAGAGTGTTGCCAACCGCGTTCAGGCCCCAAATTTGAAAGTTACGGCGGCAACTTCTGCCCTAATTAAGAAAACAGTAAAAATCCGCCTCAGTGCAACGCAATCAAAATGAAGAGAGGAGAGTCGGGTTTTCTACCCAGCCAGTCCTAGTGTCCTTTAAGCGCCTTGTCGCTTTCTCCCCAGGAGTAGGGTCAAGCTTCTGGAAATCCCGCTTCTTTCTCTAGCCCTGCTTAGGTAGCTGGCTCGGAGGCTCTGACAGTGACCTGAGCGGGAGAGCGCAGGGAAAAGCAGACAGGGCCTCACCAGCCCCTCTTTGCGGGCCCCACGTCGGGCCCGGCGCGCCGGGCCGGGTGTCGCCCCCAGCTCCTGCCCGGACCGCCCCCTCTCCGGGGCTCGGGCCCGCCTCCCCGCCCGGGCTGGCAAGGTGTCCCGGCTGCTCCTTGGCGCCCCCTGGCCCGGCTCCGGCGCCGGAGGTTTCCGGTGAGCCGCAGTCGCCGGTTATGACGACTCCTCTCCCGAGCAGCAGCCGATTCCTCCTCCTCCGTAGCCCCGACTCCCCCGGCTCCAGGTGGGACTCGCCCCGCGCCCCGCGGAGCCTTCGCCCGCCCCCTTCCCGCCGCGTCTGGCTCTGCGCGCCTCTCTCGCCCGGGCGCGCGGGGGGCGCTTCTGCCCGCTCCTGGCGCGGCTTCCCGGCGTGCCGTACCTCTCCACGGACTCCGCCAGCGCCTTCCCATCGCCTGCCGGCCGGGGAGGCGAGCGTGGGGAAGCCGACCCTGGCTCTCCCGGGCCCCGGGCGCTCGGCCCCTTCACGGTGCCTGCAGCGGCGCGCAGGACTCCCGGGCGCCCGCCGGGCGCAGGGCAGGATGCCGGGTCCCCGGCCCGCGCTCTGTTGACCCGGTTTCCCAGGCCGGGGAGGAGCCGCTGCCCCAGGCCCCTCCTAGGCGCGGCGGGGCCCCAGGGCGGGGTGCGGTGCAGGGTGGCGGGCGGTCCCCGAGGCTCTCTGCGCCCCGAAGCAGCCCTGGGCGGCGCCTGGGGTGGAGACGCCGAGCACCGCATCGTGGCCGCAGAGGGGCGCTCGCCGCCGACTCCGCCGCCCTGGTTCCCGGACTGACGTTCTAGCGGACAGCTGGTGGACCTCCACCTCGGCGTTTCAGGCAGCCAAGCCCTTTCTCACCCCCTGCCTTGTACCGAGCGCGAGACTTAGGCACTAGCGGGGCCGAGCCGTTTAGGAGTCATTGCGAGTCTCACGTGCGTTTCACTTTTCATTTGTCCACTGCCTTTAAACTTGCCAAGCTCTGTCACAGAGCGTTGCCCCGTCTCCCACACGGTGGTCCCTGTCTGCCTCGGGCTTTCCCCTCTCATCATCTTTCAGGCTTTTCCCTTTTTCCTTCCTCCTTTGTAGGCCTGTGGAAATCCAGTCAAGGAATACAGAAGTGGAGGGAGCCAGCCTCTTGTGCTGAAGGAAAAAGCTCAGCCGCTCAAGCTTCCATCCGCTGGAGAAGAGCACCCACCCATCCCTGCGGGGCCTTGCAAGAGGACTCAGCACCAGAAAGGCTCTCTGCCAGGCCGCGGGGTTGTATTTTCAGGCACCGGCAGCCGCCTCCTAACTTACGCAAGTGGGTACTTGCCCACCGCGAAAGCCAGGTTTCTGGTCTGAGTCTAGATTGTTCCCATGACCTGAGCTTTACTTCTTCTCCATGGATCACTGGGTTTAGTTTTGGCTAGAGCTCAGTCGAGGACAATGGACTTGGATAAACAAAGGTTAGGACTTGGTCATAGTAATGACTTTATCACTGGGAAGGATGAGTCAAAGGATAGGACATCCTGCCTGTTGAACCTTGAGGCTCAGGTAGTAGAAAAGCCCAGGTGGCAGTGTGATTCAGCGAGCAGGATTGCTGCAGTGAGAACAGGCAAGTTGTTTGCTCCGAGGAATGCTTACCTGCCAAGTGGCCGGTTGGCCTGTACCAGTTGATGCCTGTATAAAAGTGGACTGTCTCCTTCCTGCTCACCATCAGAACCTAGCCTAAGTTACTGTGTTGAGGGGAGTCCTGTAACTTGGCTTTTAGCAGTATGGTATTCATTAAAGGCAAAGAGAGCACCGTGAGCCAGGCCTTCTGTGTAGGTGTTCTCACTAAATGCCAGGCCCTCTGCTTATAGGTTATCTCATTACATTATTTTCTCTCTTAAAATTTCCTTTAATTCAAATTATCACCTAGATGTTAAAGTCTACTTTAGCATCCTTTAAGGGTGATATGTTTCATTTCTGACAGGTTTTAGATACCTGAAACATCGCAACAGCTTCTGGGTGGTTCTGAGGATTAAAGAGGTAAATATTTTAATTCTAAGGAGAATCACTGTTACTATTAATATGTATTTTTAAGTTTTGTAAAATTGCTATCAACTCACTGTTGGATAAAAGTCCTAACTAAAAATATTAATTCAGATCACCTTTACAACAGATAACCATATACTCTTCAGAGCCACCTAAAAGAAAAACCACTATAGTTATCACTCCAGAGGGGAAAAGGATTTCTTCTCGAACATAGCAGCCTATTTCTAAAGGCCCTATCTTCATCGCCCATAGTCAGTGAAGGCTGATTTTGAAAGCTGGGTTTTCCAGTATACCCCAGGGACAGAAGACCTTGCTGGGGGCACCTCATGTGTAATAAATTTCTATCAGCCAGTGGAGGGCGCACCTTTTTTTAAAAAATAGAGCAAAGATACGGCTAAAGTGAACCAAGAATGGCACAATTATTTTCTGCGATATATAGGAGAAATCTGGTGCAAGAGATTTAATCCTTATGGGGTGAGTTATAAATACAGTAACATCCGTGACCATTATCTCTTTTCACAATACTAAGGCAGGATCGGGGGAGTTTAAGGGCACAGTCTCTGAGGCAGACTGCCTGGATTTCACTTTTGGAGTTTTCTAAGTCTTAGTTATTATTATCATAGGTTGTTATTATATCCGCTGGAATGTAAGCTTCACAAAGGCAAGGAGTTTAGCTCTCAACTGCACATTCACAACGTCATCCTTGGTAATTGGAAGAGTACCTGGCACATAGTATACACTCACAGACTGATTATGATTATTAGTTTTTATTCAGCACATATACTCTTGCTCTGAGCCATTGTACTTCCTTTTCTTCTCTCTCCCTGACGTGTTTTCCCCACTCCTCATCATTCAGGTCTCAGCTCAAATGTTACTTAGTACCCCGCACCCCATCCCACATACCTTTAAACATTTATTTAATGTACGCTTACATAGCATTTAACATGCCAGGTACATCTAAATACTTTACCGATATTTAACTCACAACAGCTCTATGAGGAAGTTTTATTATGATTTCCATTTTACAGATGGAAAAGCTGAAGCACAGAAAGGTTAAATAGCTTGCTCAAGGTCATACAGCTTAGGAAGCTGCAGGTGGATTCAAACCTAAGTGGTCTAGCTTTAAAGTCCATATTCTGAACCACCATACTATGTTGTCCGTCATATTACCTTACTTTATTTCAGGGATCAGCAAACTGGATCATATCGAGGCCCTCCCATTTTTGTAAATACAATTTTATTAGAACACAGCCACCCCCATTCCTTTAGCGTAGGCTATGCCTGCTTTCCTGACAAAGGAGTTGATGTGTCGTTGCCACAGAGACTGTATGGCCTGCAAAGCTAAAAATATTTACTACCTGACCCTTTACAGAAAAAGTTTGCTGGCCCTGGATTGATTTTATTCACAGCTCTTGTCATCATCTGAAGTTATTTGATTGTTTATTTTATGTCTCTTGGACTAGGTTTTAAGCTCCGTGTAAGCAAGGGTCTCGCTTGTTTTGTTCACTCCTGTATACCTACCTCCTAACACAGTACCTGGCTTATAACAGGTGCACAATAAATATTGGTTGAATGAAGGAACATTACTCAGTGATGTAGCAAAGCTTGTTGTAATTATGCTGAGCCCTTGACCTCATTGACTTTTAAAGGATCTGTCTTAACGAAGGTGTTTTCAATTTGATCTCTAGGTTGGGAAGTTGCTATGTTAATGCTGCTTGTCTTTGGAGTATTATTTCATGACGTCCCACTGAGTGGCCAGGAGGAGGCTTCTCCCGAGGGTGATGGCATTCCAGGCGAACCTCTGTTTAACTACACCAGCATCCGCCTGCCGGAAGAGCACATTCCCTTCTTTTTGCACAATAACGGGCATATTGCCACGGTCTGTAAGAAAGACTCACACTGTCCTTATAAGGTAAGTATTATTTCTTCTCCTCTTATTTATTTTTAAAAGGATGCAATTGAGGCTGGCTTACTAGTTCTGCTTTATAACTTGAACCTGAAAATAGAATTCTGTCTGTTGGTTGCAACTGTGGGTCAGTCATTGTATTTCATCTAACGCTTCTAAGTGACTAAACTTTGCTTCAAATTATGTGCCACTCACAAGAGTGAGGTTTAAAATCTAAATCACTAATAAAATAAATAGGACGCCTGTTTGTATCTTCTGTAAATGAAGCAAATTAGATTTTATGCAGAAAAGAATATCTAGTTAAAAGTCACCAAAGAATGTCACACCTCTTCTTTCTGAAACGGCACTTAAGAGGGTCTCTTAGCGCTTAATTTCAGTAACAACACCTCCGCCTCTGTCTCCACGTAATTAAGAGTGTTACTGTGGCCTTCCTTCTGTTTTAGAGTTGTTGAAAAGGCCTCAAATTGGAGCCCATTAAGACGTCTCAGGAGGCCTGAGAGATCAAAGCCGGGCATTGTGAGACACTTCCTTTCCCATGGTGCTGGCACAGGAAGCACGTGGAGAAGCAGACCTGGGAACAGACCAGCACTGCTCCTGGGGCCTTGCAGAAGGGCCTTCTAAGCTCCCTGGCCAACAGCAGCTGCTGTGTCCCCCAAGGGCTGCAGAGCTCTCTTGCTGTCTTGTGGGGTCTCTGCTGATCTTGACTGATAAGTAAAGTTGCTGATCCATTCATTTTAGCTGTGATCATTTTGGTGATAGAAATTCCGTTTTATATGACTCTTCAGGGACTGATTTTAGAATCAGTTTGCTCACTGAGAAAGGCATTAGCTACTTCCAGAAATTCCAATTCAAGTGGTCTTTTTTTTTTTTTTTTTTTGGTGAGGAAGATTGGCCCTGAGCTAACATCTGTTGCCAATCTTCCTCTTTTTGCTTGAGGAGGATGGTCCCTGAGCTAACATCTGTGCCAAGCTTCCTCTGTTTTGTATGTGGGACGCCACCACAGCATGGCTTGATGAGCAGTGTGTAGGTCCGCACCCAGAACTGGAACCCACAAACCCTGGGCTGCCGAAGCAGAGCACACAAATCCAACTACTACACCACCAGGCTGGCCCTTCAAGTGGTCTTTGGTAGTCTAGGTAAAGCCTCAACTTTTCGTGAAGGGATAGACATGGTGGAGGGTAGTGATTAAAGATAATTGTTAAGAGGGTGTCAACCCCGTGGCCTAGTGGTTAAGTTCAGTGCACTCTGCTTTGGTGGCCTGGGTTTGGTTCCTGGATGCGGACCTACATCACTCGTCAGCGGCTACTGTGGTGGCGGCCCACATATAAAATAGAGGAAGACTGGCACAGATGTTAGCTCAAGGCAAATTTTCCTCAAGGTAAAAGAGGAAGATTGGCAACGGATATTAGCTCAGGGCCAAACTTCCTCAGCAAAAAAAAAAAAAAAGAAAAAAGATAATTGTTAAGAACTTTGAGATGCTATTCTTAGAATGTACTCTGGTTATTTTTATTACATGAATATGTTTCATAAAATGTAAAAATGAAAGTTCTATAAAGATTTGTTTTCTTCATGGAAAAATCAGAGAGTCCTCTCTAAATGTCAGAAGAGAGACCAGTCTAAATATACATGTTTTATGTTCTAGAAACACTTAGAAAATCTAAAGTACTGCTGGGGTTATGAGAAATCCTGCAAACCAGAGTTCAGGTTTGGTTATCCTGTCTGCACCTATGTCGACATGGGATGGTAAGTTTCTAGATGGAACACCTCCTCCCCTTTAAGTCATCTTTCTCTGCAGTGTATGCTGATGCCCAATTCCCAGCTAGACTCTTTGGGTTTTAGATAGTAATTCCTTCAGTTATTAATCTACTCAAACAGTCATGAATTCAACTTGACAAACCCCCCTCTTCCCCCAAGGGACAGAAATATCTCTCATTTCCTCTGCCAGAGGGAGAAAACAGTATGGATCACAGAAAATATTTTCCCCCAACAAACACTAAGAAGATAAATTGATGATTTCCTCTTGATTCTGGTGGGGAAAGTTAAGTATAATTAGTATTTTCAATATATGTGAGGTTAATGGGGTAAAGAAAATATAGTAATTAACTGTAGTTAATTCATTGTCTTCAGTTCCAGATGATCCCAACTTCATACATTTCTGTTGTATATTTTTATTATAAGGGAGTAAGTCTATGTATAGCTTATTTTGGTAACTTCGTGTAGTGAGGGATAGTCTTAGGAAAGTTATGATAGTTTACTTTAAAAAAATTAAAGCAATGACAGACTTCTGGCACTTTAACATTTAGAAAGAAAATTCAAAGTCCCATAAAAGTAAAAAGAAAAAAATCACAGAATCTTTGTGTTTGCAAATAGGACGGACACTCTTGAATCCGCCCAGGACCTATTCTGGAAACAAGCTGACTTTGGATACGCTGGAGAACGGCTGGAGGAACTACATGTGCTCTGCCAGCCTAAGGAAATGGTGGGTGTTTCATCCCTTAATAAGTCAGTGTGTTTGTTTTAAAATACTCATAGTGTTGTGATCATAATGTAAAAACAAGATAGATGGCACTTTGAAAGGAATCTCTCACTGTCATGTATTTTTTGGCTTAAAACTTTATTTAACTTCCAAGATCAAGTTGTTCTGTTTCATTTGGAAGCCATGTCCTTGTTTTCACACATATATCAGATGGTCATATTTTGAGGTAGTTAAAATATTACAAGGTTTAGAATTTACCCCCCAACATATGCTAAAGAAGATAAATTGATAACTTGCATCTTTTATTTTCTTATTGAGGTAACATTGGCTTATAACATTATATACATTTCAGGTGTACATCATTATATTTCGACTTCTGTGTAGACTGCATCATGTTCACCACCAAAAGTCTAGTTTCCGTCCATCACCGTACACATGTGCCCCTTGACCCCTTGTGCCCTCCCCCTACCCCCTTTCCCTTCTGGTAACCACCATTCTTTTCTCTGTATCTATGTGTTTGTTTGTTGTTGTTGTTATTTTATTTTCCACATATGAGTGAAATCATACAGTATTTGGCTTTTTGTGTCTGACTTATTTCGATTAGCATAATACCCTCAAGGTCCATCCATGTTGTCACAAATGGCAAGATTTCATCTTTTTTATGGCTGAGTGGTATTCTATTGTATATATATACCACATCTTTATCCACTCATCTGTTGATGGGCTCTTAGGTTATTTCCAAGTCTTGGCTATTGTGAATAACGCCGCAGTGAACATAGGGGTGCATATATCTTTTCAAATTAGTGTTTTCATGTTCTTTGGATGAATACCCAGAAGTGGAATAGCTGGATATATGGTAGTTCTATTTTTAATCTTTTGAGGAATCTCCATACTGTTTTGCATAGTGGCTGCACCACTTTACATTCCTACCAGCAGTGCACAAGGGTTAAGGGGATGAACTGATAAACTGCATCTTTATAAATTCCCTTGAAAGTAGCTTGGGTCAGATGATACAACCCCACCTTACTGCTCTATGTTTGTTTAGGACTTGATACTTGCAAAAGGCTTTTGTATATGTTAGCTGGTTTGATTCTCACAAGCATTATAGCAGATAGGCAGGGCAAGTATTAATAATGCCACTTGATCAGAGAAGAAAATAGGGTCCTCAGAGAAGTTAAGCAACTTCTCCAAGACCACACTGCTACTATGTAGAATTATACATCTAGAATTAAGATGCAGATCTTTTTCCGTGTGCTTTCAACCATACCAGATTGCATTCAGTGGGTAAGACGAACATGTTGCCAAGAGGCAGTTTTGGGGTAGTCACTAGGAGAGCAGGCTCCATACTGCAGGGTTCAAACTCCAGTTCTTGGACAGGGCACCCAACATTTCCATGTTTCAATTTCTTCTGCTTTCAAAATAAGCCTATTTCATAGCTTGTAGTGAGGATGAAATGAGATTCTGCATATAACAATGCTCAGTGCAGGGCCTGGCTTTAGTGAAGGACTCAGTACTAAAGGTGCATGGTGTTGTCGGTACTTGTGATTAAAGTCTATTATCCCATGTTCTTGAACCCTGCCTGAGTCTCTGACATCTCAGGGGTCTCCATTATCTCCGGGCAATATAGAAAAGGAAAAAAAATTTTTTTTTAATTCACTTGCATTAAAAAATTGAATATATGCTCTCTGGTGTTTTTGGAGAGTGTCACATAATAGGACTTTAAGCAGTTATAGCAAGGTGGATGAACCACAAAGATGAGAGACATGGCATTCACCTGCACTGCTGCAGTGTGTTTAACTGTTTCGTATGTCGCATACTTTGGCTGGAGTCTAGCTGTTCCTGTGGAAAGGACAGGGAAAGAGCCACAACCCCACCTTGCACACCTCTTCCAAGGTGGTTTGTAGAATGCCTTCCTGGCCAGGATCTACTTTGATATGTTTTGTGCTATCAGAGTATGATCCTTTACCAACGGTGGATTTCAAAACCCCATGCGGGTCAAAATTAAGGCCTTGTATTCATTGGGAACTATGGGAAAAACAATAAAATGGCATTTAAATCTATAAATAAAATCCAGAGCAGATAAAAGTTTTTGAAACCACTCCTTCTTTCAGCACACACCAGATAGGCAGAAATAGAAACAGGGTTGGCATTTGGCATTGTTGGTATTTGAAACAGGCTCTGGGGGTAGTTGACTCTTAAACTCCTTTATTTCAGTGATTTAGAAAACACTGCCCTCATGTTGCTGTTGAGACAGGGACTCCACAGGTTTATGGTTTGCAGAAAGTACTTCTTATTAAAATTGGCAAACTGCCCTTCCAGCCTTGCATTTTAGTCTCTTATATGTGCATTCTTCCTTGTTTCGTTTGGCTCATCTTTGAAAGATGCTTTTCCGCAAAGCTGTGGGAGTAATGATGGTTCTGAGTGCTTTTTTTTTTTTTTTTTTTAAGAGGACTAAACTGCACCACACATATAGCTCTTGGCTTTAAAATTTAAGGTGACATAAATAGGACATTTAGGAGTTCTTCACAGTAACCTAAAAGTATGCAAATTGGCAAAACTATGCTTGGCTAAAGTCTGCTAGGAGGAGAAAAATCCTTAAACAGAAGCAGTCTTTGGGAAGCTTTCCTCATCACATCGTGTGGTTTGAACCTGAAGGTGTACCTGCTGTCAACATATCTAGCAAGTCTGGGGGTGTCCTCGAAATGTTAATACTCAGAGTTCTTTCTTTTTTCTCAACCTTATTTCAGAATGACTCAAGTCTGGTATGTTCCCGTTATCTTCAGTATTGCAGAGCAGCCAATCTTTATCTTGATTTAAGAAACATCAAGAGAAACCACGACAGGTACTTAAGTGGTTGATGTTAAAATCTAGTGAAAATTCTGAAATATTTTCAGGTCCAGAGATATGCCTTGAATTTGCTTCATAATAATAAGGTGATGAGGTTGGGGAAGCGGTAGGGGATGGAAGACCTAGATTGGCCATGAGTTGATCATTGTGAAGCTGGATTATAAGTCCATCAGTATACTGTTGTATACATTTGAAATATTCTGTTAGAAAGAGTTAAATTCTAATGCAAAACTGGCTTTGGAAATTGGTAAACCACCTTAGTTAACAACTCATGTGCTTGAGTCATAAAAAAATTTTCTGCACTCAACTCAGTTTTTTGTTATCTACCAGATTTAAGGAAGATTTTTTCCAGAGTGGTGAAATTGGAGGACACTGTCAACTTGATGTTCGTACGTTGATGTCTGAAGGTCAGCGCAAAAGCCCTCTGCAGTCTTGGTAAGATTTTTTTTAAAAATATGTTTCTAAAATATTTGCCTTTATTTCTGGCACTTACAGATTTTGGTAGGGATTTTCAAATGAAAAATGTTACTTCATTTGTGGGTAACTCGGCATGAGCTTCCAGGGAGTGATGGCTACAGAGTGAATCCGTCACTTGTATCTGAATTTAATATATGTTTATAAAATATTAGGAAAGATGATATAGTACTTACTATTTGCTAATGAAAGAAAAAAATCAGTTAAAAAATGAATTTTTATTAACTCCTCATAATTGCTACATGTGTCTTGGGGAACAAATCTTTTAAAGAAATACACGTTTATTGAAGTACATAACAAGCATATAGAGAAGTATAAGTTTGGATTATGAAAAAGTGAACCTACCTGTGTAACTCTTACCCAAGCAAAAGTAGACCATCACCAGCACCCCAGGCTCTCTCCCACCCACAACCCCCATCATCCTCTCCAAAGGTAGACACTACCCTGGCTTTCAACACCATTGATCAGCTTTTTGAAATTTTTATGTAAATTGGGGAACACATTTTGATTTAAAACATTTTTAATATTAAACTAGTTCTATGGTCTATCAAGAAATTTACCATCTCTAGAAATTAAGGAGTTAGGGTACTTTAAAAAACTTTTTATTTTAAAATAATTTTAGACTCAGAAGTTTAAAAATAGTACTGGGAGTTCCCATTGTACCCTTCCCCAGCTCCTCTGATGGTGATGTCTTACAGAACCATAGCCCAGTGATCCAAACCAGGAAAGTGACGTTGGTGCATTATTATTAACTGAACACATTTGGATTTCACCAGCGCTTGTATGCTCTCATTTTTTTTTGATGTATATGAAATTCTATGTTCTATGAAATTATAGTTCTCTGAAATTATATCACATGTCTAGGTGCACGTAACCCCTACCACAGTCAGGATACAGAACTCTTCTATCATCCCAAAGAAAGTCTCACGCTACCCTTTTGTACTCCAAGGTTCTGAGCACCCAGTTCCAATGTGTGTGGGAGGTTTTCAACATGCCACCAAGCAATTCTGCGACACCAGCGGGGTGTCTTACAATTCAACTCAATTCTGACACTGTCTACCTGGAGATATAGTCATATCCCACAGGTTAAGGGCTCAGTCCCCTAAGATTGCTCCCCAATCCCGTTTCAGACCCCAGGCGCAAGCCCAGGTTCTCACCTGTGCTTCTCACCCATTGGCTATAGATTGGAGGTTCCAACGACCCCCTCCTTGGATTTGATTAATTTGCTATAGCGGCTCAAAGAACTTTGAGAAACATTTTACTTACTAGGTCACAGGTTTATTATAAAAGGATATAGCTCAGCAACAGCCAGATGGAAGAGATACATAGGACAAGGTATGGGGAAAGGGTGCAGAGTTTCCATGACCTGTCCAGGCGGACCACTCTCCCCAAATCTCCATGTGTTCCCCAACCCAGAAGGTCTCTGAACTCCCTCCTTTTAGGTTTTTATGGAGGTTCCATTACATAGGCATGATTGATTAAATCATTGGCCGTTGGCAATTGATTCAACCTCCAGCCCCTCTCCGCTCCCAGGAGGTCAGGGGGTGGGATTTAAAGTTCCAACCCTGTAATCACATGATTGGTTCTCCTGGCATCCAGCCCCCAACCTAAGAAGCAGTCCAAAAATCACCTCATTAACATAACAAAAGATATCTTTATGGCTTCCATCACTTAGGAAATTCCAAGGGTTTTAGGTGCTTTGTGCCTTGAATGGGGACAAAGACCAAATACATACTTTGTATTATAAATTGCAATATCATAAGCCACATAGGATACTCTTATATAATGTTAATTATATAAGATAAGATTATATATATTTAGATCAAACATTCCTGCTAAGCAAATCCTTCAGGGTAATAATCTAACATACCTTGGTATGGCACTTTACAGTCTGCAATGCAGTATATTCCTTGACTTAGACTTTTGCAGTAGGAGTTTCTGTATTCTAGTGGGCACTTGTGAGTTCTAGTATGTTTTGATATCTGATTCCACCTGGTAGTTCCCTAGGGTATATTTGTGTTAGTTATTTATAGCTGTGTAACAAATTACTCCAAAATGTACCCTAGAGTATATTTTTATTCATTATCTATTGCTGATTAACAAATTATGCCAAAATTTAGCGGCTTAAGACAATAAATGTTTATTGTCTCACGAAGTTTCTTGATGGTCAGGATTGAGAGGCAGCTTAGCTGAGTGGTTCTGGCTCAGGGTCCCTCAGCGGGTTTCAGTTCAGCTGTTGACAAGGGCTGGAGTCATCTCTAGATTCAACTGGGCCTGGAGATTCTGCATCTAAGCTCACTCATGTTGTTGTAAGTTTCAGTTTCTGGCTATTGGCCAGACGTGTCATTTCTTTGCCACCTGGGCCTCTCCCTAGTCTACTCACAGCATGGCAGCTGGCTTCCCCAAGAGCACATGGTCTGAGAGACAGAGAGAGAGAGAGGGCGCTCATGCTCCAAGATGGAGGCCTCTTTGTATACCCTAATCTCAGAAGTGACACACCGTCACTTCTGCCGCATCCTATTCCTTAGAAGTGAATCACTAAGTCCAGCCTACACTCAAGGGGAGGGAATTCAACTTTACCTCTTGAAGAAATATCAAAGAATTTGTAGACATATTTTTGAAACCACCACAGTATTTCAGCATTGTGTGCGTTTTATAAGGATTTATTTAATATTTGTTTTACATTAGAAGTAGACTCAAAGATGAAGAGTTACAAACGATCTTTAGGTTAACTCTAAATATTCTTGTCACATGCTTGTGATGGTCTTCTTTTATATGGAAGAAAACTATGCCATACGGCTTCCAAAGATGTTTTCTGAGAAAAAGACTTTCCTTTCTTCTGGGAAGCTAAGCTGTCTGCTGTCTTTCTGAGGCCCTCAATTCTTGGAATGTGGTCCTTCTCAGAATCCAAGAAGTCCATTCCAAGAGATTCTCTGGGTTGGTGTTACTTCTGAGCCTTGTCAAACTACAGGAAGCCTTTATGAATCTTCCCACTTTACTGGTAGATTATTTAGCCAACTTAATGTGTAAATTTCTTTTTTGTCTGGAAGGTTCCCAGGTTATCTTGCCCATTAGGCTGAAATTTAAAATCGTTTTTGTTCCTTGTCTCAACATTAAAATTGATATCAAGTTATATAAATGTTAGTAAGTTTGAGAAGTTCCATATGTCTTCATAAGAGCATATTCTAGAAATAAAGTCCCCCTAAGGAAGAGATCCTAAGTTACAATGTTGCAGTAGGATGTTGAGGAGGATCACTTTGAAAGCATCTCCCAATTCATAATTCCAGGTTTGCTGAGCTCCAAAGCTACACTCAGCTCAACTTCAGACCTATAGAAGATGCTAAATGTGACATTGTTATTGAAAAGCCAACCTACTTCATGAAATTGGATGCAGGTGAGAAGTTAATTTGTCTGTTATTTATTTATTCGGTAATGAGGCTTTGTTCCTTTTTTGATATATGTATGTGGTGATTTCCTATGCCTTTTTGGGAAGTGGTACGACATTCAACAGTGGATTTGCTTTTTGCTTTCTTCTCTGAAGAAGTGAACTGGTTTGAACGTCCCATTATTTAATGCCTTTGGTATTGTAGAAGAAACCTGCACTTTTGTATCAAACGACTCAATCAAAATCAAAAGATGAGAGAAGAAGGTGTATGTATACCTTTCATAATTAAATTTACCCCATTTGGTTTCTCTAATCACTTGATTTAGACTGTGCTTCAATAGAGATATTTTAAAAGTAAAAACCATGTATATGCTGTGAGAGGAAAGGGAACGCCCATGACCTCTTCTGGCAAACTTTCTGATATCATTTCCGTGACTAAAGTGAACTTAAAATTCCTCTGGAAGTTAGCACTGCAGTATATTGTTGGAAAAAAAGTTAAAATTAAAATTATTTTCCCATTTATGCCTATAGCTTCTAACTCTCAACTTGCAAGCAGAGCTTTAACTTTGTGGACTAGTTGCCCCGGAGAGGAGAAACATGAATCGTACCACATTCCCTCTCTCATTATAAGAGTTGAAGATTACTATGAAACACCATATCAAAATTCATGAGGGGCTGGGCTTACAGTGAAATATAGGGAGCCCTCTGTCATGAATATTTCAGAATTACTATAATTTATTGATGATATTTTTAATGTGTTCTGCCTTCTGAAGTCATAATTCTTATATCACAAAGTATTAGGTTCAGAAATCAGACAAATTTAGGTTTTTGAAATAAGAGCAAGTGAAAATGCTATGTTCGAGGTCCTGACTCATTTTTCAAATATGCAAATTAAAAAGGGGCAAAGAAAACACTGTGCTCTGCCTGTAAAAGAGTCGAATATGTGTGAACTGTTAGATTTATGTAGATACTTATGCAATAAAGTATGTAAAGTAGGAATAATAGGCTAGTGTAGTCATGTGCCATTTCTTTCCTATATTCATAACTCTACTTTTTCTTCTAAATTATGCTGTCAATCAGTTTTCTTTTTCATATTAACTCTTCCCTTGAGAGAATGAGCGTTCTACAGAACAAGACTCACTAGGAGGCACATTTTTTGAGGACGGAGCCTGCGTTTTCCCCCTCATTTGTGAATCCTCATAGCCCCAACCTCTGTTTTGTGCATGCTGCATTCCTTAGTAAATGTATGAACTTGCTGAGTGATACCTGAAAGAGCTATGTGTGCCGTGTGCCAACCTGGGAAAAGGGCATGTGTTGTCATTGAACTTTCTTTTTCTTACTCATTTGAAAATGTGATCTTTGCCAAGATTTTTCCGGGTGAAAAGGAGCCCCTCCGCACATTCATCTAAGATATCAGTCTAAAAAGAACTGAGTATTTTTTTTCTTTCTTCTTTCTTTCTTTCTGTGTTATTGAGATATAATTGACATATAGCACTAGATCAGTTTGTGGTGTACAGCATAATGACTTACAGAAATTGAGTATTTTTCACTCTGATTTTCTGGCACACAATGTTATTATTTACTGTGGGAACGAAGTCAGAGTATTTTATGATTTCTGCTTTTGAGAGTCATTGTTTTTCTTTTAATTAACATTTTCCCTCCCTTAAAGTATGTATTTTAAATGTCAGTTCTTGGAATTTCATCCCATTTAGGTTTGCATGTTTCCAGGTTGAATGCTGGGTCCTGCATACCTAAATTGAGAGAGAGAGAGAGAGAGAGAGAGAGACAGAGAGAGAGAGGGAGGGAGGGAGCAGGGGTGGGGGTGGAGGGGTGAGGGGGGAGAGATAGAGAGGGATGGAGTTGGGGGAGAGCTGGAGGGAGAGAGGGAGGGAGAGGGAGAGAGAGTGTGTTCCGTTTCTTTTTAATGACGCACTTAGGAACTTATGAATAGCAGAACCCTTGCTCCCCGCTCCTCTGTTTGACCCAGCAGGATCCAGGTAGCCTTCCTAAAGGTTTCACCATGTGCCAGGCACGGGGCTGGGTAATTTTGGATACATTATTGTTGGGGGATTTCTCCTAACAAAGCTGGCACCTAAGTATAACGATTTCCTATTTCTGCTAGAGAAGCTTAGGGACTTGATGAACTTATCTGAGAACTCTGCTTGTGAATGGCTGAGCTGGGATTCAACCTGGTTCTTCTGACTCCAAAGTTCATGCTCTTTCAATTAGAACATGAGACATTCAGTTCTTCTAAATGATAGTTGGTTAGTATTTTCCCAAGAAGCAATGTTGTAAGTAGTGGATAAATAGGGGAAAAAGACAGGAATGAAAAATACCAAAATGTAAATAGTTGCCATCGTTGCCAATACTTCTATGATGAACAGGTGTTGCTTAATTGATTTTAAAAAATAAATGATCATAAAAAATAGCGATTAGTCTTCATGGCCCTATAGTTCTACCCCATTTTGAGCTAAATAGACTTCTGTTATTATTTGTCTGGGAACTTAATGATCATTTGTTACTTAGTGTATATGGGAAATGCATTCCTAATTTCTAAATAACTAATTTTAAAGTGAATTTTTGAATTTTTGAACCCAATCAATCTGTAAATTGAGGACTACCTGTGTATAGATTATTTCATGTTTGGAAAAACTCTTACCTTTTTTCCCCATTTATTTTAGCTAAAAGTCCACCAAACTATAAATACGGGGTAAAATAAAAATTGTTTAATTGTTTTTTCTTTGGGGTTAATTAACATAGATTTCTTTCTTCCAATACTAGGCGTTAACATGTATCACCACTTCTGTGATTTTATCAATCTTTATATTACTCAGCACGTTAATAATTCATTCAGTACAGACGTGTATATCGTGATGTGGGACACCGTAAGTAAGAATGTTCTCTGTGCTTCTGCTCTGTCTTTGCCTTGCTCAATAACTATGTGACTCTGATGTGGTGAAATGAAATTTTTTAAGACACTCACATTTAAATATACACACATATACACACATACATTCATACATATGCAGATGGGTGTAAATATATCTGTGTATATGCATTTACATATATGTATACGTATAGGCAGATACATATGTATGCATATACCTTAGTTCTTTGAAATTTAGAATGAGGTAGTGAAAGATTTCTTTTCCCCTTTGGGCAGGTAGAGCTCCAAAGATCTGTGCTCAGTGGTTCTCTGAGACAGACATATAAAGACTGTCATTTGTTTAACCTTGGTGACCCCCTACGTGACCCACGTGGGGAGAGCTTGCCTCTGTTTCCAGTTTGGCCTCTTGTAATTACTGTCTGCCTTTGCTTAATTGCAGCTTCCCTTTGTGACTTGCTTCATGCCAGATTGTGCTGTGTGTATCAGCTCACTACCCAGGGCGAGTCTTAGGCACACACATAAATACGGATGTTGAATTATACTGCTATTTGCTTACTTGTTTTTAGGGCAGTCTTTCTTTCATTCTCCTTCTTTACTTGCCTTTTTCCTGCTTCTTCCCATATCTGACCCCTCCACTGGCCAAGGTAACCCCAAAAGTTGCCCAGCACACTCACCTGTGAAATGAAATTATTGTAGTGTCTACCTCAGTGTCATTTTGAGGATGAACCATATAGCGTGGGAACAGTCACAATGCTGGGCACACAGCATGTGTGCTCTGAATGTTAACTATGACGATGACAATGATAAGGAGAACAAGAGGTTTATAGCGTACACAAGCAGGGCTGCCTACACTGGGGAGTTAGAACACCCACCAAGAGGTCAGCTAAGGTTCAAGTAAACGTTCCGACTCACAAGACGCTCGTCGGCCCCCCTCTTGGCGTGAGTCTATTCAGAACGACATTGCAGGGCTGGCTGGCAGGGCAGCATCAGGCATTTCTTCAGGGGAGTCCTCCAGCAGCTGCACTTCTGCTGGGGGAGTTCTTCTAGCAGCTCAGGTGCAAGGAGATGGGATCCACCTGGGGCAGGTACAGCCACCTCATGTCGCACGGGGGCCAGTGTCTCCCCAACAACTGCGTTGGCCAAGCCCCCAGGATCCCAAGAGACACCACAGTTACAAGAGCCATAGTGTTCTTCCCCAGTCCAGATGCAATTTACCCATCAAGCGTCTTTTTAAATCATAAGCAATGTTACCTAGAAACACAGTTGATATCTGCTGTCTTCGTTTCCAGAGAACAGAGCTAGACAGTTAACTGAAGGTCAAATTCTCGTGCAGAAGGGGAAATGGTTTTGCTATCGCTCTTTTCACAGAGATGCGGCTTGTAGTAGAGCCGCGTAGAGGGGTCTTCGTTATCACTGCTCCCTGGACCTGCAGTTTGGCTTGAAGTCTATGAGAACTGGTCCTATAATTCTCGGCATGTTAATGCTCTCTTTTGGTTTCCTTCTTTGCGTGTTTTTATGTTTTCCTCTTGTGTTCCAGTCTTGCTGCTACCACAGTCTCATTTCTTGGAAATGTTTCTGTGAGCAAAGGAAGCAACAGTCCCTTTCTTTTATTCTTTTTCTGTAAGTGCTTCTAGGCCACAGTCACCGGCTGTCAGAAGCCCCGAATGATTAACTCAGGGTTGTGGTACTTTTTTTTTATTACTCCTGATGTTATCTTGTTTAATGCTCACAACCCTCGTGGACTAGGGTTTTTATTAGCTTATTTTACAGAGGAGAAGGCTGAGGCTCTGAGCAGCTGCCGGGTTTCTAAGATAACACAGCCGGCGAGGGGTGGAGTCAAGGATTTAACGCCAGGCAGTCTGACCGCAGACCTGTGCCCTGAAACCGCAATGCTTTGTCACCTCCCTATAGTTCCCTGCAGAACCTGTTGACAGAAAGATTCCCAGACACTTTCCAGAAGCTTCCTGGTATCTTGTTGCTTGCTTTCCCATGTCTTCCTCAAGTGGACGAAGTTACACTCAGCCCACATCTGTAACCCTCTCCTCTTCTGTGCCTTCTCTCTGGGATGGATAAATAGGATGCACGGCCACCACGAGGACTCCAGGTGACTCAGTCACCTGGGCAGTGATGTTAGGGCAGTCTGACTGTGACTGGCACGGACAGGCAGGATGGGTTTAGCGAGCAGGTTGGCTGCCCTGATGTGACCTCCCTCCTTTGCTACTCTCCTTGCGTCCATTCTTAGTCTGCGTTCTTGGTCAGAGAGGCCTTTGCTGGTTGCTGATTCAGGTTCTCAAGACAGGCAAGTCTCCCGGGCTGCATCAGAATTCAGGCCCACCACCGAATACCGTAGGTCAGATAGAGATGGTATTAAGGTGTTGTGTGGCTGCCGACTTTTCTCTTTTGCTGGATCAAGCAGCTCTGTGACCCCTAGGCTGACTGGGATGCGAACCCCCCACAGTGGTCAGTGTTGCCCCAGAGCCAGTCCTGAAGGCCTCGGACAAGCAACGTGCCCAGGGGAGGAGCAGGGAGGTGGCTGTGGCTGCAGTTCAGATCTTAGTGGCGTTTTACAAACTGTCCCCACAAAGAAGCCTATGAGGCCTTCCCTCTCATCCTCGCAGAGCTCAGCAGTTTGGCCTTTCCCTTCAGGCACATGGCTTCCTCGGTGGGATGGGCAAGGCTGCCACCCTCTAGGATGCACAGACGGATACTCCTGCAGGAGCTTTTCTGGGCACAGTAGGGCTGCTCTTATTAACAGAATGAATAGAAGGGAGATTACTGCAGGCTTTCCACATTTTCTTGTGCTGAGAAGTAGTATAGCTTTGTTATTATTTTTTAATTATGCAAGTAATACCTGGTTATAATACCTGAAAGAAGTCTCCTTCTTCCTCTTCACCATTTCCCTCAGAGCTCACTGCACTTAACATGTGAGAGTCCCTTGTGAGACTTGGTTTATTTTAATAAATGTAAATATATCCTTATACAAAATTTGTATAAGGATTTGTATAAGGATATATATATAATATATAAAGTTTGTATAAAGATGTGTTTTTATCCTTATAGGAAATAAACTCTCTCTTTCATATTGCTAACTTAATGTTATATCATGGCCATCTTTCCAAGTCAGTACATTTAAAGGTTATCATTTTTGTAGCGGTTACATAGTATTCCATTTGAGGGATGTTATGGATATTCAGTGCATGCCTCAGTGCATGTTTTATCTCTTGCCCTCACCCCGATCATGTTTAGTTTGTTTCCAGTTCTTTGCTATTTACTGAAATGCTTCCATGAACATCCTTTCCATATACTTACATCTTTATACACTCATCCCAGCATTTCTGTAGGACAGATCCTATAGGGGGAAGGTCTACGTAATAGGTTATGTGCCTGTTTAAATTTGAGACATACCCAGGAAGAAATTTTATGTCATTCTTAAGACTATCCAAATATTCTTCAATATGAGACTAGAAAGAAGTCCCTCCTTCCCTTGTGGCAGATTATTCGAAATTGAAGGACATGGAAAAGAAGCTTCTAGAGGTGGTTATTACTGAATAATACATGATTTCCCTGAAAATGGATCAGTCAGATTACTATATTTTATTATTAAATTTCCCTTTCAGGGGCTGGCCCAGTGGCGCAAGTGTTTAAGTGCACACGCTCCACTGCGGCGGCCCGGGGTTCGCCGGTTCGGATCCCGGGCGCGCACCGCCGCACCACTTGTCAAGCTATGCTGTGGCGGAGTCCCATATAAGGTGGAGGAAGATGGGCACGGATGTTAGCCCAGGGCCAGTCTTCCTCAGCAAAAAAGAGGAGAATTGGCAGATGTTAGCTCAGGGCCGATCTTCCTCACAAAAAATAAATAAATAAATAAATTTCCCTTTCAAAGGTATCTAATTTTATCCGAAGTATTTTATCCCAAGAAACAGTCTAGAATCACTTCTCTTAATTGCCCTTTATTTATTCTTGAGCCAGAACAGGGACATGTCATTTTTGATGGTGCTAAGAGGGGCCTTCATTAGAACAGCATTGCAGTAACATTGAAAGAAAGAATTTTTTTTTTCTTTGTGAGGAATATCAGCCCTGAGCTAACATCCATGCCAGTCCTCCTCTTTTTGCTGAGGAAGACTGGCCCTTGGCTAACATCCGTGCCCATCTTCCTCTACTTTATGTGGGACGCCGCCTCAGCGTGGCGGGTGCGTCGTTGCCACGCCTGGATCCAAACCCCGCCACCAGTAGCGGAGCTCGCGCACTTAACCACTAAGCCAGGGGCCGCCGCGAAAGAATTTGTTTACCACCATATCTAACAGTTCTCAATAACTTTGAAGTAACTCTGATATGTGCAACATAAATTTTCAAATCTGAAAAAAGAATGCTATAAAGATAAAAATACATGAACATAATATATAACCAACTGTAGACCTTGAATGTAATCCTACAACATATATTTCTTTTGGTTGAATTTTTCAATTTAAGTTATACCATCTTAAAATAAATTGATCTCCCTCAGTTAGCTAATGGAGTACATAATTAATTTCTACTTTTCAAAAATGAAATGCATTTGGTAAGTGTACCAGAAAGAACTAGTTCCCAGTGAGAGGCAGCCGCCATATAGAAGTTACAAGCATGGAGTCTGGAAGCAAACAGACTGGCTCTGCACCAGCTCTATAATTTAGGCAAATTACTTAAATTTGTGTTTCAGTTTCCTCATCTGTAAAATGGGGATAATGATATTACTTAGCTCATTAAGTTTGTGGGGTGGTTTAATGTGTTAATAATATTGAGTGCTTAGAACAGTGCCTGGGATGTAGGAAGTATGCAAGATGCTATTATTATTATTACTCTTATCATTAATGTTAGTGGGGAATTATCACATGTTAGTCAATGGGGAGATCATTTCATAGAATGACATTCATTCTATTTTTAATGTGAAAATTTTCAAGGCATTTTCTCACTCTGAAATTTCTTTCCAAAAGCGTATTCCATTTACCTGCATGGTTTCTGCTCACTGAGCATATCAGTGTGTACAAATGGTGATGTATGTATGTGTTGTGTGTATGTGTGGTTTGGAAAGAAAATTCACAGGAAAAAACCCACAACAACTGTAGTTTCAGACACAAGAATAAAAAGGGGTGGGGTGGAAAAACAAAACACTTCTAGCATACTAAGATTATAATTGGGATGATTATTTCTGATGACATTACATTAAATTAGGTAACTTGCTCAGGCCCCAGATGAAAATCCATTTTTCTTATATGGATTTTATGAGCTTGTTTAGGATCGTTAGTTCTTAATGCTAACAAGCGAATTCCAGTATTTTCTTGTGTTTTTGTAAAGCTATGTTGTATCCTTTTAAAGCCCTAACTTACTTTATTTCCACTTTCAGAGCTCCTATGGATATGGTGACCTGTTCTCCGACACATGGAAAGCATTTACTGATTATAATGTTATCCATTTGAAAACTTACGATTCCAAAAGGGTACTGGAAACTTGACTGAAATGTCTGTAAATAACTGTCATTGCAGATGACTCACTCATCAAATAAATATTTCGTATGAGTTTGTGTTAGCTATTACCATTGATTTCTGACTTCTTAGTTTCTCTTTTTATAATTAGAATCCTCCTTGTTATTAACCACGTAACTTTAAAAAACTTCTTCCCATAGCTTTTCCAAAAACATGAATTTCACTTGAGTGAAATAGTTTGCTATTCAGAATATTTTAATGAAAAACAGAGATTAACTCACATTTATTTTTTGTAATTATAAGTGCTGTTTGGGTGTGAAGGGTGCAGATTGTATTCTCTTACCTTTTCAAATATCTTCCTTCTTAGGTATGTTTTAAAGAAGCTATTTTTTCATTGCTCCCTCGAATGAGATACGGGCTGTTCTATAATACCCCTCTGGTAAGCATGTCATCAATTGCTAACATTCATATTGACAGAATTTATTCTTGATAGATTTTAAAATAACATTTATATATAACTTGAGAACATCTTAAATAGTAATGCAGAAATATTCATTGTAAATTGAACTATTGTTTTTATTTTAGATATCTGGCTGTCAAAATACTGGATTATTCAGGGCATTTTCCCAGCATGTACTACACAGACTGAACATCACACAAGAGGGACCCAAGGTAATGAACACATTATGGGTTCTCAGGTGGGCTTGACTTTTCACCCCGAATAAAAATCAATACCTGCTTTGCAGAAAAAGAAATAATCAGAAGAGAGTGTTTTCTGTGTGAACGATTTCTGACGTGGAGTGATCTGAAATCAGATGTCAGCATCTATGAAAGATAAACTAAGGGGTCGTGGAAGAATGTGCTTTTTTTCCTTTTTTGTTTCCCCTTTCTTTCACTGTATCTCCCCATCTTCCCCCAAATTCCCACCTGACCCACACAACCTCTGCCAAAAAATCCACACAACCAACCAAACAAAAGTAGTGTAATAAACAGGTTTTGTCTTCTGTGGCTGACGTGGATGCATTTCTATTCCCTGAGAGAACTGTGAAGGGATCCGGCTAAAATTGAATAGTTCCATAAATGTATCCTTAATGAGTTTCTTCTCTTTGTGAAAATCACATTTTAGGTTCAGGTGTTCATCTGTCCAGGCATATACAGCATTATTTTGCCTTTTCCTTTTGGTTACAGGATGGAAAAATTCGAGTCACCATCCTTGCACGGAGCACAGAATACCGGAAAATACTAAACCAAAATGAGGTTAGTTTTTGGTATGCATTTTTAATATTGTCATATTGAATTTAACTTCCTTTGACTAATGTGCTTTATTTTTTCACATTGCGTTAAATGCTTTGATTTGAAATTATTAGCTTTTAGAAAAGTTTGATGGCTATGCCCAGTTCATTTATTGGATTTCTACTGGAAGTCATCAAACCACCTGTTGCCCAAACTAGCTTTGCCTTACTGTAAACGTCCCTCTGCACCAACAGAGTGGAAACAGAGACGAAAACTGTCTCTGAGTCCTGCCTTTACTGCCGTGGATTGCCAAACATTTTGTCTCTGGACAAACTAGCAGTGAAAATGTGAGAGTATCTTTTAGGAGATGGTTGATGGACTGTAGCAATACTGTGGTATCCAGCGGCAGATTAAGTTGGAAGAGTCTCCATCCTTTTTATGACTGTGTCTTAGAAATTGTTCACCACTTAGGCTCCCAACTCATTTCAACAACATTACTCATAAATTATATTTAACCTCAATAAGATCACCATGCAAGGCCCCTGCCTACAACAGCATGGCCAGAAGATGTTCTTGCAATAATGAGATTTATTCCACAAAAATGTATTGCACACCTGTTACGTGCTGGGCCATGTTCAGGCCCTAGAGCTTCAGTAGAGAAGACAGATAAGGTCCCTGCCCTCATGGAGCTTATGTTCTCGAGGTGAGACAGACAAGACAAGAAATAAGGAAACAAGTCAGTAAGTAAGGTGATTTCAGGTAGCAATACGTGTTACAAAGGAAATAAATCAGGGTGAGGTGATAGAGACTGGGGATGCGGGTGGAGAGGGGAAGGCAGTCAAGCAGGGCATCTGAAGAGGTGCTGCTGGACAGAGACCTGATCAGAGAAGAAGCTAGCCAAGGAAAGAGCCTCCAAGACAGAAGCAAATGTCCTCTGATGTCCAGAGCTTTAGGTGTTCCAGAAACAGAGAGAACACCAGTGTGGCGTAGCGAGAGGGGTGGCGGTGATATCAGAAGAGATCAGAGAGGTCGGGCATGGTGTGGGGAGGCCATGTATCATAACATCCTCATAGACCTCGATGAGGAGACAGATTTTAGTCCAGTGTGAGGAGAAGCCACTGTGAAGTTTTAAGCATGGTGCGGTAGGCAGAATAGTGGCCCCCTCAGAGATGTCCATGTCCTAATCCCTGGAACCCATAGCTAGGTTAGGTTACATGGCAAAGGGAAATTAAGGTTGCTAATCAGCTGGCCGTAAAATAGGGAGATTATCCTGGATTATCTAGGTGGGCCCAATATAATCACAAATGGGCCTTAAACTTACCACACCAGAGAATCTTTGCCTCTGCCTGGAAAGCTCTGTTCTTAGCTGGACTCTTCTCACTGATCGGATCTCAGTTCAGCACTTCCTTAAAAGTGGAAGAAAGAGGCAGAAAAGAGAGTCAGAGCAGGAGACACAATGACTGATGACAGAAGCAGGGCCAGAGAGATGCAACATTGCTGGCTTTGGAGACGGAGGAAGGGGGCCTCGAGCCAAGGTACACAGATGGCTTCTAGAAGCTGAAAAGGCAAGGTGATGGATTCTCCCCCAGAGCCTCCAGGAGTGCAGCCCAGCCTCCACCTCGATTCTATCCCAGTGGGACTTCTGTCTCAGTGTCAGACTTCTATGCTACAGAATTCTAAGAGGACAAATTGTGTTCTTTTAAGATGCTAAGTTTGTGGTAGTTTGTCATAGCAGCAAGTAAAAGATGAATACACAGGGAGAGACATGAACTGACTTATTTATTTATTTTTAAATCACACCGCTGCAGGAGTAGGAGCAGGGAGATTGATTAAGAGCTGTTGCTATGGCCCCAATAAGAGTGTGGATGAAGGTGATGACAGTAGAGATGACAAAATAAATGGGTTGAAGATACATCTTGGAGATAGAGCCTGTGATATTTACTGTTGGAATGTACAGTAATCGCATTAGGTAAGGCCAGGAAAGGTATTGAGAATCAAGTGTGAACTCCTAGGCTTTGAGCCTGAGCAGTTTAGTGCAATTGAGATGGGAAATTAGTAGGAGGGAGGTGAGGGGCAGGTTATGATAGGTAAAAGGTTTTACACAGATTAATTTGAATGCCTAACAGGCTGATCAAAATGACATACTTAGCGTCTCTTCTCGAGATCCATATGGATTATGCAGGACATGAACATATGGTGTAATGAGGCATTGATTGTAAGCTATGTGGATGGAAGAAATGAGCAATTGTGTATGTGTGTGTTTTAAAGACCTGGAAATAAAAATGTATCAAGTCATGCAGTGTTGGGGTAGATAGATGAGAAGCCTCATGAGCAGGCAGATTGATAGTAAATATTGGTAGAGATAACACATATTGAATGCTAATTATGTTTGAAGCACACTGCTGTGTGCTTCCCATGCATGTCCCCCAGTGCTCTCAGCAAACTCACGAGGTAGGTATTTTATTATTATTCTCTGTTCTAGACAAGGACACTGAGGTTTAGAGGTTAAAATACATGCCTAAGGTCACCCAGCTAGTGAGCAGAGTATGGGGGATGAGCCCAGGTGGTCAGGGCCTGAGCCTGCTTCTTAACCAGAGTGCTCTGCTGCTCTAATACCAATACATCTCAGAGGAAGCTGACCCACCTTGGTTCCCAGTGCGTCGGGAAGGGGTGGGCTGAGGAACGGCACCAAGCTGCTAGAAAGAAATCCAGTAGAGAGAGGGGCAGTGCCAATGGGTGCTCCAGTGCAGCCATAGATGTTTTTACATCCGGTCATGCAGATTGCCCAAATGATGTTGCCCAAAGGTGGGATTTGGTAATTCAGCTCCCAACTCCAAGCCAGAGAGCACCCACCTGGCTGCTTTTCTCCCGAGGATTCACATTACTTGAAAGGGCAGCTCTCAGACCAAGAAAGTATCCTTGACTCTGCCTTGATTAGTGAATAGATAATAAAACCCAGATACCCTCATTAAATGATGGTTCATGCAATCCTGCCCAACATCAGGGTTGGAATGATCATGTCAGAAGGGATATGGCCACCTCTAGAAATTGTGAAAAAGAGTACGCTTGCCGGGGAACTCTCAGAGACACACGATTCCTTATATGTGGGCGCATCTCAGTACAAGCCAGGGCTCATGCCGTCTGATTAATTTTCTCCTGGAAAAACAGAATTCTAATCTTCTATCCTCACTCCTTCAACTCCTTAATATAGGCGTATATTCGTGGGAGTCCAGGGGCTGTCGAGAGAGAGAAACTTCCATCGTATGACTCTGTGTGTGTGTGTATCAGGGGGGAGGGTGGGGATTGGATGTTGGTCACTGCCTGTTGCTGTTTATAAGCAGGAGAGTAGAGTGTGCTGGCTAAGAACACAGGTTCTGGGGTCAGATGACCTTGCGTTAATTTTGGCTCTGCCCGTTTGCTGGCTAGGAGATCCTGGGAAATTTATATAACTTGTCTAAACTTCCATTGTATCATTTATCAAATGGACATAATAATAATACTTACTTGGTATGATTTTTGTAGGGATCAAGTGACATACACCTAAAGCACTTAGAAATGCCAGCACAGTTTAAGTGCACAAAAAATGATGCTTTTGTAACCATTGATGACGTTGTTGCAACAAGGCAGCAGGATACAAGTGCAGAAATTTCTGGATAGCAGGGACTCACGGTGCTGGATGAAGACGGCCTAATGTGAGGGTCATAGAGAATCCTGGCCATGTTTTTGATAATAGACTAATTGTGCTTTGTTACTTCTTGTTTGCTAAAAGAATAATTGTTTTTCTGTGTAAAAATATTGAAAATGTTTTTTTTCTGCCAAGGATTTAGTATTTTCAGAGGATGAAGTCCAAAGCACTAGCGGTTTGTCTGAAATGAGATAATGGATGGGAAGAAAAGCCTTAACATGATGTCTGGAACACAGCCAATAGATGTTGAGAGTTGACAGAATAACCAGCAAATTGTCACAATAATAACGAACACTTAGTGTGTCCCTGAGCTGAGCACTTTGCTCCCATGAATTTTCTCCTTTCAGCCTCATAACCACCCAGTGCGGTGGAATTTCAGGGAGGTAGAGTGTCCCAGGGGTGGAGCCTGCATTTGAACTCAGTTAAGGGTTAAAACAGTGGACCTGAAGGATATTAAATACCTGAAAAATATTTTGTATGAAAAATAAGAAACTTTAGGACTCAAAGGAAAGCAAAACAGAAGAGAAGGAAGAATAAGAAATTCTAAATGTTGCTCTTTTTCCCCAGCTTGTAAATGCACTGAAAACAGTATCTACATTTGAAGTCCAGATCGTCGATTACAAGTATAAGTAAGTAATACCCACTCTTGTGCAGACGATGTCATCTTTTGCTTGGATGAGTTAATGGGGCATAGACAGCACTTTTCGAATGGAAGTTGTTGGCATTTATAAATCTGAAAGGGACAAGCAGACGCCGTCAGTGAATGAAGTGGGCAGGTGAGGACCCTGGGCACAGGGGGCAGTTGCTCTTCAGCTATAAGGGGCCTGATGTTGCAACACCGTCCCATTTTTCAAGAGAGGTGATACATCCAGATTTTCGTTTGAAGTTTCTGAATTTTTAAAAGTCGGCAATTAATTTTGAATTAAAAAAACGTTGTAGGCCTGGTTTGCCCTGCTAGCTGCCAGGTTTCAATTTCTGACCTGAAATTAGTTATATGGGAATAGTTTGAAGGTCACAGAATAATATGAGGTTTCTACACATCTTATAAAGTACTTACAATTCTTTTAAAATTCTGATACAAGTAAAAGGCTTCGAAAGACAGAATACGCCTATCACTTACTGTCTAGGTAACCCCTGTTGATGTAAAAACAATAATGCTGTAAAGGTAGTACATGTTACTGGTTGAAAAGTCAAGCAGTATAGAAAAGTTCCAAAGGGAAGGTGAAAACTTCTGTCTGCCCTGCTCATCCACCCACAATCATAGTCTTATTTTCCAAATTGAACACTATGAACAGCTTCTTTCTATGTTAAAAGAGAAAAAGTATACATATACCAACATATGGATGTCTAATATAGACAGGTTTACACTCATTGGTAAGCATGGGAGTTTTGCTCCTCGTTCATCATACATTCGTTCATTTATACAACAAATCTTCGCCGGGTAGCTACCGTGAGCTGGCCACAGGCTTTGCAGCAGGAATCCAGTTATGGAGGACAGCATGGTTCTTGTCTTGAAGACCTCAGACACCGAATACAAATAAATAGCAATCGTAAGACAGCTACCATCTATTGAGACTTACTATTATATTTACCTGCTTTATCTCATCTCACTCTTCCAACAGTCTTGTGAGGTTGGCAAAGCTATTTCCCTTTTACAAATTACACTACATCATGGTGACTACGCTCATTGCCTCATGAGGAGATGTGGGAGGCCAGGAAGAGGGCTGGGCGTCAGGCTGAAAGAACTGGGGAGGGCACCTTGGAGGCTCTGTCGTTGACTGGCTTTTAAGGATACATAGTGGTTTCCTGCCTGTCAGTTGTCATACCGTGTGTTGCTGTGATGCTGAAAGCTATGTCACTGGTATTTCAAATACCATCAGGGTCACGCATGGTGGACAGGGTTCAGCGGAGCTTCCAGACTAAGACAGGCTAGGAAGAAGGACCTGGCCACCCACTTCCAAAAAAATGGCCATGAAAACCCTGTGAATAGCAGCTGAGCATTGTCTGACAGAGCGCCGGATGGTGAGAGGATGGCTCAAAAAGACAGGGCAGGGTTCCACTCTGCTATACACAGGGTTGCTAGGAGCTGGAATTCATTCGCTAGCACTAACAACAGCTAAAGGGTTTTCCCAGATGACGGAAGAATGACAATAAATTCATACTTTGCCAATCTGAGGAAAACAATAGTAACCTAATAGCATAGAGATTTGTGAGTCTTGATCCACAGGCATTTCCCACAACTGACGACTCTGGGGTGGTGTTCACCTAGGCAAATGCCCACCCTCCCTTCAGCATCAGTTGGCATTCCTGGAGAAACTGGGCACGCACATGGTGCTGTTGTCTTCCTTTCCCTACGTGGGGGGCGGGGTTTCTGTTCTACCGTGAGAGGAAGCTCTCTAAAGAGGAGAAGCTGATTAGGAGGGAATTTGCTTTCTCTTTTTAGATCCAAAATAATCTTGGTCCTTTATTTTTCTTTACCTTTGGTAAGTGGACTGGGAGATCTGATTCCATTATGTTTATTCAGGGTGTTATTCTCCAGCATTTCTTCCCAGCCTCACTTCAATGAACTTTTTTGGCACTGATTTTCGGTTCTGAGTTTGCACATCTTTCAGTGTCTTGAATTCAAAGGACAATTTTACAATCTTAAAGTGCATACAATTGTGGATTAGTCTGTTGCAAGGGCAGAAAAATGCCCTGGTGGTATCTGAGATAATTTTAGGTGTACCCATATGGCATTGAATAACTCAAATCACACAGGAGGAATTTATTTTCTTTAAGAAAAAATCTTTTTGTTATCTTAAGGAAGTAGTTTTCAATTTGGTGCTAGTATATCATGACACCCCTTTAATGCTTGCTGATTTCACTTTTTCATAAAGAGAGAGCAGGCCTCAGGCTCAGGGCTTTGCCTTGCAATGGTATCTACCTAGATTAGAATAACACTTTGTAGTTTGATTATATCTATTTTTACAATTTTGTTTATGTCATGTGTTACTGGTTTTCCATTTAAGACAGCTATAAACGTTTCTTTCTAAAATAAGTGCATTTAAGAAAAAAAGGTGAGCTTACTTAAAAAACGTTATTAAGTAATTAAGTTATTAATTACTGGAGTTGGGTTGAAATTGGCAAAAACATCATGGTGGCGTGTGATTTAAATCGGGAAAGACACTTGTATAAATATTTTTATCATGAGTCATGAGCTAACTCAACTTAGTACTTTCTTCTCCCTATCTGTCTTTTGTTCTGTATGTTCACAGGGAACTTCGGTTTTTAGATCAGCTAAGGATCACACATAACACGGACATATTTATTGGAATGCACGGAGCTGGTCTTACCCATTTACTTTTCCTTCCAGACTGGGCTACTGTGTTTGAACTGTAAGTGTTTGGGGACAGTTTTACATTGAGGCAGCTCATAATGCTTTTTATGCACGCTAAGACTTTCACTCAGAGCATCAAAAGGCTTAATATTTAATCATTATAGGAAGTCATGTCATATAGGCATCTGGAAAGAAAAAAAGATCTAAAGCTAAAAATGTGAAGTCTGTAGCCTGCCATTGCTCTTAACAAGCAAACTATCCCTTCCTCCCCCATCTCAGCATGGTTTGAGAGATGTGAATCTGTGATTTCCTTACTCTGAGTTTATTCCTATGTGCCTCTCAAACTGTGAGCATCTCCCTACACTCAGTGTAGTGTAATTATTGTGTTAAAGAGAACCTATGTGTTGCACACCCGTGTGCAGAGCAGCATTATTCATGATAGCCAAGATGTGGAAGCAACCCAAATGTCCATTGACAGATGATTGGGTAAATAAAATGTGGTGTATACATACAATGGAATATTATTCAGCCTTAAAAAGGAAGGAAATTCTGATACATGCTACAATATGGACAAACCTTCAGGACATGATACTAAGTGAAATAAGCCATTCATAAAAGGACAAATACTGTGTGATTTTCCTTATATGAGGTACCTAGAGTAGTCAAAATCTTAGAGACAGAAAGTAGAGTGGTGGTTGCCAGGAACTGGGGGGAGAGAAGAATGGAGACTTGTTTAATGGGCACAGAGTTTCAGTTTTGCAAGATGGAAAATTTCTGGAGATTGGTTACACAACAATGAGAATGTACTTACTGCTGAACTGTATACTTGAAAATGGTTAGGATGATAAATTTTATGTTATGTGTTTTCTACCACAATTTAAAAAAAACCCAAAAACCAGAGATTGAGAACCTGTATGTCTTGTGAAGGACACAGCTCCAAAACACAAGCCAGCCCCTTCCCCTAGTGCTCACTGATTAAAGGGAGACTAAATTCCTCAAAGTGAAAATGGTTTTCCCGGGGTGTTCCTCTAACTCGACGGTTGGTTATGGAGACGTGGCCTTCTCTGCCTTAATAATTCCACTCTGGACACCATGCCCCATCTTTAGTTCTTGACACACCAGTAGCAATTACTGTTACCTGATCTCCCCCTTTGCATCTAAATATCTCTATTTTATGGTTTCACTTTAAAAATGACTTGACTCAGTATTTAAATGGAAAACTGTTTAGAAAAAAGTTGTCATGAACTTCCAACACCCTGCAAAAAACATTTAAAAAAAGTTGTTAGGGAAATAGCCAGATAATTGTGGATTCTATCTCAGTTCTTCATTTCCCCTAGAGATAAAGAGGGAGGGAGGGAAGAAAGAAATGTAACTGAGAAAGCTCAGGCCTTGGAGGTCAACAGACCTGGGTTCAGTTTCTACTTCCTGCGCTCATTAGCTGAGTGACCTTGGACGTGTTACCTACCCCAAGTCCACTTCCATACGTGTAAAGACTGGGGTATTAGGAGATAATATCAAGTTTACAGGCAGTTGGCCCTCTTGATAAAAGTCAGTCCCCTCCCTTCCTTGTTCCTATTTTGTTTTTTAAAAGTTGAGGTAATCAAGGGGCCGGCCCAGTGGCATAGTGGTTAAGTTCATGAGCAACCCCGGGTTCGCAGGTTCAGATCCCAGGTGTGGACCTACACACTGCTTGTCAAGCCATGCTATGGTGCATCCCCCATACAAAATAGAGGAAGATTGGCACAGAGGTTAACTCAGGGCCAATCTTCCTCACCAAAAAATAAAAATAAAAAAAGTTAAGGTAATCTAGTTATGAGGATATTTCAAAAATAATCTCCCTCAGTCTTGTTTACTGTTTACAAAGCCTTTTGCAAGAACATATTTGGAAGGTGCATTTTTTCCCAGAGAATTTTTGATTGGGCAAAAACCCAGGACAAGAGCCTCATGTGTGGATGCCCTCATATCCTTAGGTACAACTGTGAAGATGAGCGCTGTTACTTAGACCTGGCCAGGCTGAGAGGGGTCCACTACATCACTTGGCGAAGGCAGAACAAAGTCTTTCCTCAAGATAAGGTAAAGTTCAATGACAAAACTCGCCTCGTTTTGCTTTTTAATTGGTTTTAAGTGTCTAATTATTGACATGAAAAGCTATCATTGAACTTTAAAGATAAACTGTTCTTCTCTGGAATAGTGAGTTTTTGTATTTTATATTTGCAAATTGAGGGGAAAGGGAAATTAATCATTCTATATCTTTAATGTTGATAAGACAACTTCATGAAATTTGGGCCTGGAAAGATCTATTAAATTATATATAGGCAAAGCAGCAAACTATAGACCAGTGGGCCAAATCTGGCCCACTACCTGTTTTTGTTTTTTTTTTAAAGATTTTATTTATTTATTTATTTTCCCCCCAAAGCCCCGGTACATAGTTGTATGTCATAGCTGCACATCCTTCTAGTTGCTGTATGTGGGACGTGGCCTCAGCATGGCCGGAGAAGCAGTGCGTCAGTGTGCGCCCGGGATCCGAATCCGGGCCGCCAGCAGCGGAGCGCACGCACTTAACCGCTAAGCCACGGGGCCGGCCCACCACCTGCTTTTATAAATAAAGTTTTATTGGGACACAGTCTCACTCCTCCGTCCATGTGTTGTCTATGGCTGCTTGTGCACTTCAGTGGCAGAGTGATATAATTGTGGCAGAGACTGTGTGGTCCACAGAGCTGAAAATACCTGTCATCTGGCCCTTTACCAAAAAACTTTGCCAACCTCTGAGGTAGAGCGTAAATTAAAACAGTTGCTTTGGCCAAAGTAAAATAATTTTCTTCCTGTTCAGAAAACTGTGTCCTCAATGACTTATGGATTTGTGTTTTGGTTCATTTTTGCAGGGCCACCACCCAACTCTGGGGGAGCATCCGAAATTTACCAACTACTCTTTCGATGTAGAAGAATTTATGTACCTTGTCCTTCAGGCTGCAGACTACGTATCGCGACACCCAAAGTGGCCATTTAAGAAACAACATGATGAGCTATAAATACGTTGACTCTTTTGCAAAAAGGGAGTGTTCAAACGCTCCACCACCCAGACTCACAGTTCAGTCAGTAAACAACCTGTCATTTCCTAGCCCCAAATTACCTTTTCTATACCAAAACATGCCTTCAGGATATTACTTATGTATTTTATAGTCTTTAACTGTTTCATGTGATTTTTGTGTCATTGCTATTTATCAAGATACTATTTTTGCACTGAACATTTTACTTTTTATAGATCAAAAATTGGGCATGGGCTCACTAGTGTAATTTCTTCTTAGGGATACCAAAGTTTTCAACTTTCTTAGCTTTAGAATTTGTAAATGTTTTTGTAGAATCGCATGGGATTGTAACTTCAGAGTGTTCCAACTTATTTATGATGTCCCTGAGTAAATTCACAACAGCTCTTTTATTTGCCATAATCTGTTCATAACACTGTGTTAAGAAAGGAAAACATACACAACACAGCACACACACGAGTTGTGATTCTCAGTACCAAGCTATAGGACCATGTTTTGGATCAAACAGTGTTATAAACAGATCTGTTTTACTCTATTGGTCAGAGTGCAAACTAACTTCCACTGAATTCTCTGCTATATCTTTTTAGTCAACTCCATCTTATATGCATCAAGAACCTGAATAAACCGTGGTGCTGCATTAATTTATATTCACATATTTCATATGCAAATCTTGTTTTCCCAAAATGTAACAACTACATGTGATAAAAACAAATTAGAAGATTTTTTAGGACTGTTTTGTGTACCTGCTAGCTGGTTTCCACTGGTTCCTTCTTAGCTGTGGAGATCATTAATATATCAAATCGTGGTTTCCGTTGTTTATGTATTTATAACTGCATATACCTGTGTGTATGCGCCTACCTCTTGTGCATGGAAATATTCCTACCTTTGAGTTTGCAAACTTCAAATTAGCCACATGAAGAGAATTTTTCCCTATAAAAAAGTAAAGCCAAAAAAAAAAAAAAAAAGGTAAAGATACATGTGAACTATCCAATTCAAAATGAAAAAGAAACCATAAGAACCTGCCATTGATTAAAAAGAATATCTGAAATGCAGTCTCACTCTTTGAATGGGATTCCTTTCTTTCTGTTGATGAACTTTCTATTTAGCAGTAAAAAACTATGAATTTATTTTACTGCAAAATGTGAAGTTTACACTTTATTAACGCTTGAGTAGTCTAATTGAGAGACTAGTGACTTGTATTTTTTAAAGTACATAAAAGATTAGTAGATGACAGCAGAGCTAAGAATTTTTTTTTTTTTTTTACATTTTATAGGTGTAAAAAAAAGAAGAATATGCAACAGAGAGGTGACCCAAGAAACCTAAAATATTTATTATCTGGGCCTTTACAGAATAAGTTTGCTGACTTCGGCTTTAAAGGATTATGAACAGTCTTCTAGGGTTTAGGAATATTTATTAAAATATCTGTAAAAAAAATAGTGAATCACTGTAGCAATAGCTTTGATTTGGATCTGAAAATTGTGTAAAAAGAATTACAACATAAGAAGTTGTAAATGAGTGGTATTGCTGCTGTTCTCTGTGCAGAATACTGAGTACCTGCTAGGTTATTTCACATAAAAGGATTCCTAAAGGCAATCTTGCACTTTTAGTCAGAAAGGTATAAATACCTGAAAAAATTATCTGAAAAAAAAAATTATCTTCTTACCTCATTTTAAGAAGCTTATTGAAATGTGATTCTATAGATTAGTGAGAATTTTAGAAATTGAGAACAATTTCATAATATAACTATTATATTGAATATTTTGCATTTAAAAAGAATACATTTTATGTAAACAAGAAAGTACATTTGATACTTTATGGAATTAACTTTTATCAGACTTTTTTATGGGAGCAAAAGAAGGTCTTCAAATTGTTATAAAGTTTAAAATGTAAAGACTGCTCGTTTTATTAACTCTTTTAAAAGGATGCATTTCATTGTAAATTTGGGGTATGGCTTTGGAATAAATATATTTTATTTGAGTATTGGACCATTTTCAAGGTTTTCTGTGTTTGAATATATATGCTTACTTTTTTGGCAATCTGGTAGCTCTAAATTACAAAATTAAGTAGCTCACTGATGAAGAATTCAGTTTAAGCAAAAATTTTACCTTACATTTATTTAGCAGTTTTTTATATGGTGCTTTCACAAATGTTACATTGCATAATCCTTCCAAGAATGACGTAAGAGTTAGTGTTTATTTCTTTTTTTTTTTTTTGTGAGGAAGATCAGCCCTGAGCTAACATCGGTGCTAATCCTCCTTTTTGCTGAGGAAGACCGGCTCTGAGCTAACATCTATTGCCAATCCTCCTCCTTTTTTTTTTCCCCGAAGCCCCAGTAGGTAGTTGTACCTCATAGCTGCACATCCTTCTAGTTGCTGTATGTGGGACACGGCCTCAGCATGGCCGGAGAAGCGGTGCCTTGGTGTGCGCCCGGGATCCGAACCCAGGCCGCCAGTAGTAGAGTGCGGGCACTTAACCGCTAAGCCACGGGGCCGGCCCGGAATTAGTGTTTCTGTTTTGCATGTGAAGGAAATCAGATGTTGTTTAAGGGACTTCCCTAAAGATCACAGGTCTTCTGATTCCACATCCGTCATCTTCCCTTCATTTGCTCACTTGTTTGTTCAATAAAGATTGATTGAGAAACGACTATGCACCCGTTACTCTTCTGGGTTCTGGGGATACAGCAGTGGAAAGAACAGAAAGAAGTCCTTGCCTTCATGGCGTTCCCATTCCGGGGGCGACACATAAACAACATAAATAAATAAAATATACTGGGTGCCAGATGCTGATACATGCAATGGGGAAAACTAAGGCAGGAACAAAGGATGTGGAGCTCTGGGGTGAGGTGGAGTCCAGCACACTTAAGTAGAGGGTCAGGGAAGTCCTCACTGAGGTGACATTTGAGTCAAGATTTGAAGTAGGCAAGGGAGGAAGCAATACAGATAACTGGGCAAAGAGCAATCCAGGAACCCAGAACAGTATGTGCAAAGGCCCTGAGGCAGGAGCATGCCTGGCGTGTCTGAGAAACAGCAAGGAAGCCACTGCAGCTGGAGTGATGGAAGGGCAGAGGAGTAGGAGATGAAATCAAAGAGGTAATGGGACTGGGGTCCAGATGGCTAGGCTCTTGTCTGATTCTGTTGAGGGGAGTCATTGAAGGGATCTCAAAAAGGAGTAATGATCTAACTTATTTTGAAGAGGATAACTGTAGCTATTGTGTTGGGAATAGACTGTAGAGGCATGACTTACGTCATGTTCTCTAGAAAACAGAGTCTGGGGTGGAGATTTGTGTGCGGGTGGCTCATTGGGGCAGGGGCTCATGATCAACACCTGTGAAGAAGTGAGGGCTCGGGCTTGGGTGGAGGGAGAAATTGAACTGCAATGCGGTAGCAGGTGAGGCCGCAGCGGGGGAGCTGTAGAGCTGGGTAGTCCTTCAGAGAGGTCCCCAGATGAGCCGAGAGATCCTCACATCGAAGACTCATTAGATATGGGCCATCCCCACAGAGGGTGTGACCTCGGGCAGGGGGCTCCCTTCAGCGAGGACAGTTCCTGGAAAGGAGCTCCACTGTGACCCGTCGGCAGCCAACATTCCCAGCAGTCAGAGGAGCATCCACCTGCAGCGTCCACCATGGGCGAGGGTGGTGCCGTTTGGCTTGTTCCGGTCTCCCTACTTCCTGCCAACTGAAGGTTAGATCTAAAAGCTTCATTAGATTCAGATTTTATTTGTTTTAAAGAATACTTATGGTCGATACCTTGACCTTCATATCGTGGAGGGCTAGAGGAGCTCTGTGGGCCATATGGGTTCTCTGTTGCATATTATTATTTGTTGGTCCCCACCTCCCTCCCCGACAATCTTTTAAAAATGTAAAAATCATTCTTCTCGATGTTTAAATAGACAGCAGAGAGGTTAAGGAATTTGCCCAAAGCCACACAGCTAGTAAGTAAGAGACAGATTGGATATAGGGCTTTCTTTGTGAAGGAATTTAAAGTTAAACAGGGAAGTTTACACATAAGAAGGAAGGAAGGAGAGAAACTAGTTGGGGGAGATAGGGAGTGGAGAAAACAGTCGTTTTCTTTGAAACGTAGTCGAAGGAGGGAGAATTTGGAAAATACTTGCTTTTTCTAAACTAGAAGCATATGAGCACATCAGTTCAGGTATGATTGCCTTAGAGAAACCAGTCGTTTAAAATAACCTCTTCCCAACCGAGGGCTATTGCCAGATACTTTAATAGCTTCCTTCTCTTTTAGCTTACGGGGGCACGTCAAAAGATGTCATAAGCATTCTCGTCATGAAAGAAGCGGCTCAGGTTGTGTGTGCCCTCGCTTTGGACAGTAATGCACATTTTGACCACGAGGTGGCAGGCAAGCCCTTCCAAATGGCTTCTCTGCCGCTGGAAGCCGGGTGTAATAATCTCATTGCAGATTCTAGACAGCTGAGCGCTAGAGTAAGGCCTTGCTTTGGTGTGTGATGGATTTTTTCATTCCTGATTTGAAGGAAAGTGGGAAAATCATCATGGACAGTTTTCAGATGTTATTGTGGAATTTCTTCGCTGCAGCCAATACCTGAGTCCTGGGTAATATCTCCTGATCATCTCGTGTGAAGAGCATTTGGCCCCGGGGAAGATGATTTCTGGTGACAGCAACTGTTGGGTGGGTGCATCCTCGCTGATGTGCAAAGGAATTTGCTGGGGACATGAGCTCTTTAGGATCTGTAGATAGTATATTAGCTTCTCAGTTCTTTTTAGGAGCTAATTTCTTTCTTATATTGGCTTTATTGGTTATCTCATACACAGTTGCTGTTATCACTTAGTTTGAAAGGAACCAGACTGAAAGCAGAGGAGTTCATTGAAGGCTAGAAGCCCAAGCATTGTGCAACATTAATTAAGGAGTGCTTTTCAGCATAAATAAAGAGCGTTAATATTGAGTCTTTGATGGGTATGACCTAATGCAGTTCTCAAAGTATTTGGTATCGTTTATTCTTCACAACTTTGAGCCACAAAATTTTGGGATGTTTTTGCTGAAAGGGACCTTGGAGGTCCTTCATGGTATTTGTCTATTCCACAATGGTTTGTTGACTACCCACCGGTATAAGTCACTTCCAGACCTAGAGGAGGGTTCCTGGGAGAGGCATGTTATATAGACCAAAGAACATGGATATGGAAGTATTCTCAGCCTTGCGACACCTATGCTGTGTGACTGTGGGCTTGTTGCCTAACCTCGTGGAGCTTCGATTTTCTTCCTTGTAAATTGGTGGTAATATCTAGTAGGCAGGATAGATTTAAGGATGAAATAAGAAAATAAAGTCACATTTGTTTAGTGCCGGGCACATGGCATGTGTTCAGTAAATGCTATTATTATACAATGACATATAGAATTAGTACTATTTAAGACTCTAGTTCATGCAGAACATTTAAATTCTGATCTCTAGGGCTCTCCCCAGACCAAGTAAATCATAACCTCTAGGGGTTCAGTCGGCTGACTCTATTTGGTCAGATGTCTCCAGGTGGTTCTAATGTACAGGAGTTGGGAGCTGCTGGTCCAGGAGACAGCAATAAAGCTGGTGGCACTAGACAGTTCATGAGGTCTAAGTCAGCACTTGTCAAAGTATCCTCCTCTGGGTATCAATAAGATGTTACACAGAAAACGGTTTATGTATTTAGGGGATGCTGCCTCAAGCCAGTTTATTGCAGGCCTTTCGTATACTAATGTGCACTGCGGAGCTCTAAACATGTGCTGTTTCCAAGTTTATTTGACCTGGATCTTTTTCTCAAGGAGCGCGAGGATCAGTGTTGCAAGAATCCCCCTCCAGGCAGGCTGCCATAAGCATTTGCCATGCACAGCCCCCCTCTGGGGAAAGAGGTACTAGGCAGCGCTTTCAACGTGAAGTCGTTCTAGTCAATTGCACCTTGTTTGTGAGTTAAATCAATTGGGCTACCTGGTCACAGCTGATTGGATCAGGGATCAATGGCTGAGCCAAAGTCTGTCCAATCAGGAGGCTGTGAGATAAAGCGTAATTAAGTGACCCACTCAGATCCCTTCTGCAGGGGACATTTGGATGTGAGATGCAAAGAGAATGCCAAAGTCATTGGTACCAAGACACCAGGTCTGAGCTACAGGTATTTCTCTTGTATTGAGTACAATTATGAGCCCCTTTTCAGTTATCCGTTGGGCCACTTGTACATTCAGGTCATGAATTGGATGATCTCTTCCTTACAGTCTGGAAGGACCTAACTAATACAGCCATGCCAGCACTTCACGTATTATTGTCCCCATACTACACCAGGGAGATGGATGCTAACTGAAGTTGATAGACTTGGAGCCTGGTCTTCTTACTCCCAGTGTAATGCTATCCAGCTACCCTAACGTGTCATTGCCTCGCAAGTTGAGGTCATTGAATCAGCAGGACAAGTGTAGGTGAAAAGTAATTGTAGTTTCCAGAAAAATCTGGAAAATAAGTTACAAGGACACGATTTAGTTGAAGCGCCTATTGTCTTGGGTGGAAATCTAAGCGGGGCCCAGTGTTAAATAAAGGCGCCAGAGAAATCAGGCCAGTTTGATCTGAGGCAATTGGATGAGGAATCGGCAAGGAGTAGATGAAGTCAAAGGTGACTGTCGCAAATCCCAGAAGAGCATCCTCAGTGAAAGTGGGACGGACATGTCACTAAAGCCGACGACAAGAGCCAAATTAGGGAAGCACTAGACACATATTGAACAGACCCCAGGCGAGGCAGGGATAGCCCAGGATTACATTTGCAAGCCTGCTAAAAAGGAGGCAGGAGGAGGAAAATGGAAACGCTAAGGAAACACGTGCACATCGTGTAGCACCCTCCAACCTCTCAAGGCCGGCGGGACATGGGGAGGAAAACCAGCACTGATTCATACAAGAGCAATTCTGCACTGAGAGAAAAATATAAGTCCTCCAGAAAAGTATCTTTGTCTGTATACCATTTTTCAAAAATGTGGGGGCTGTTCAGCAACTTTCAGAG